AAATATAAACTATTATTAAAATATTATAACATTAAATATCTATTGTTTTTTTGCAAATATCAATAATATAATAAATATTTTAAATATTTAAACTTTTGTTTATATAAAGTGTCATAAATGTTATTTATTCACATAATTTTGCTTTAAATATCTCCTAACTGTTTAAAAATAATACATTAAACTTATGCTAAGTGTTTAAATTGTTGGCCAGCGGTAATTCGCGCGCATTCATCAGCCAATCAAAATTGATTTCTAATTTCATTGTTATATTAATTAAGTACAGTATGTGCCAAATATATAAACAAATTTCACTTATAAATATATTTATTAATAATATTTATTATAAAGTTATTTGAAATATTATTTAATTAAAGAAAATGTATAAATTATATTTAAAACAATAAGTAATTTACATAATAGTTACATACGAGTTATATTACACATACAGTAATATTTAAATATAATATTGGATAATAAAAAAAAATAATTACAAATATAAATTATCATATTAAGAATATTAAATTTTAATAATTAAAAGTATTAAATAATATTTATATAATTATTAAAATATAATAAAAATCTATTATTTTTTACTATAATATAATTAAGTTATAATCAAATAAAACTTAAAATTAATAAAAAAATTACATTTAATAAAAAAGTAAAAGTATAAATTATTAGTATTACACACAAAAAAGTCTACAAATAATATAAATGTATTAAACAAAAAATGTTATTTAAAAACAATATTTAAACAAAAATTATAATACAATTAAATATAAAGAACAAATAAACACGAAAATCAAGTTTAAAATATACATTTTAAAAACATTTTAATTATTAAATCAATATAATTAATAATTAATTAATTAAAATCAGTCATACAAAGCATTTGAGAAAATCCAATCATAAAGTTGAATAATTTTTATTTTAAAAATATATATTGTTATGGTATCAAAACTATCGCATAATGATATAAATGCCATTTATATAATCTCAACAATATATTTTTTTCAAAATAAAAATTCACAAACTGACCCTTATATATTTTGCATTAATATGAGGTGATGTCTCAAATGAACTGTATCTTTGATTAAAATATCAACAAAATTTGATATATTAAATATTTAATTAAGCAATTATTTTATATCCAAGATGTTTTTGGAAACATGACAGTGATTTGTCCATCGTCTTTGCACATAATGGTTTTTTGCAACTTTCACACATAAATGATGTTTGCTTACGTGGTTTTTGATCTTTGAAACAAATATAACAATCCATAACATTTGATCTGCTGGTAGATTTAATTGATACGAGTTTTGAGTTAACACAACTATTACGAAATACATTGTGATGGATATGTTCAGTATTATTGATTAAACGAATAGCGATTTGCTTTTTGAAAGCTTCTGATGGCATTGGTTTAATAGTTGATGATTTGTAAATAACATAACAGTTATTCATCGACACATTTGTAATTAAATGCCAAACTACTTGGGGCCAAAATGCTACTCGATGGCTACTAGATTTTTATAATCATTATAATTAGTGGGAATATCTATATAAATTTTTGGAAATGATGGGACAATTAACTCAAATTTTTTAAATTTTGTGAAATTTTTTGGATTATTTTTCTGATATTTTTTAAATGTTTTAATATAGTTAAATTTATGATTATTTAAACTATAACATATTGTAAAAAAATTTAATGCTTTTTTTGGGTTTTTATTAATATTTATAGCAAATGATTCTGGGGTATATTTAGACAATCGCTTATATTTATTATTAATTAAAATATGAGCTGTTGTCATAATTTTGAAAAAATTATATTTAAATATTTTTATTTTAAAAATAAATATTGTTATAGTAATAAAACTATTTTATCGCTTTAAATTTAGATCTCAACAATATATTTTTTTCAAAATAAAAATACCCAAACTGAACCTTATAGATATTTAGCACTAATATGAGTCTCAAACATGAATTAAATGCACTGACACACTATGGAAGTTAGCAATGCTATGCAGTAAAGTCATAACAATAGGCGCTGCAACTATTATACATATAAAGTCAATTTGCATGTATAAGTTAGAGGAAATCTATCGGTGCTTATATGTTTGATGTATGGTCTCAAATGTACTGTATATTTTGTGAAACTGTAACTTTTTTTTAAAAATGTTATAAAATTAATATATATAGCGTATCGTACAAACAAAATTTTAAATTTTTTTTATAACTTGGCATTAAAGCCTAATCCATGAAAATATCTTAAATAGTTAAACAATTTTTACAAAATAAACCTTAAATATAATTAAATCGACAGAATATTTGACAAACAATACGGGTGTAATGTCATCCAGTGTTAGTGTCAATGATTGCAATGATTTCGGTAAAACATACGACTTATAGGCAGTTAATATATCAGTCAATTGGATATTAAAATCATAACTATCAGTGATGTTCAATGTCTTTAAGTTTGGCAAACTAGCGATAATGGGTATAATCGGTTTAGTGAACCGCTGGTCACTACTAATTGATCACCGTATGTGAACAAACAATTCACTGATTATTGTCTGAATTTTGTTAATTGTATAAAACAGTCGTTCAATTGTCAATATTGATGTCCGCTTTGATGAATTGTGTCTTCACATGTAATGAAAGTTTCGGTCAGTTGTTTGAAATAAATCGCCGGTAAAATCAGTATCAAAATTAGTTGACAAAATAATATTCAATTGTCTCAATTGTTTCATTTGTTCAAAACCTGTGATTAATGGCTGATAATTATTATTATCGTCAATAGTTATTTATAAATAAGTCCAATGATGTCAATTGATGGCCTTAAGTATCTTCAAACACGACAAACAGTGCGGCCGTAATGTTGTCCAGTGTTAGTGTCAATGATTGCAATGATTTCGGTAAAACATACGACTTATCGGCAGTTAATATATCAGACAATTGGATATTAAAATAGTAACTATCAGTGATGTTCAATGTCTAAGTTTGACAAACTCGGCAATCCGTACAATCGGTTTAGCAAACCGCTGGTGAGTACTAACTTATCGCTGTATGCGAGCAAACAATCCACTGATTATTGCATCAATTGTGGACACAGTCTCTTAAGAAGTTTACTATCAAATACCAGATGTGTTTCAGTATTGAATATCAATGACTGCCACTGATTGTAGACTTAGTCTGTTATCAATTGCCTGATGTGATGGCCGCCACTGTTCAATGTTTGGCTGAAGACACTGATAACACATAAATACAGTAATCAAGTGATTATACAATCAGTCATACAATTGGGTTATTAGTGTATTTTGATAACAAATACAAATATATATAAACAACAAATAAATTGCAAAAATAGTTTTTAGTCAACAAATGAGTCCATCGAGTGATCGGTTAATAGTTTGGCGTTAAATATGCAGTAAAGGTGTCGACAATTGCCATAACAAACACATATAACATATATTTACTGTAAATTTCACTTCAATGCGATTGTGAGTCCAATACACTAAATCACTGATACATTGCATTCAATAGACAACAACAACACTGTCTATAGGTTTCTCATTCAAGTCAATGTAAAAAATTTAATTATATAAAACTATATTAGCAATAATGTGTTTTACTGTACTAAAAATTTAAGCGCTAAAAATATGATTGATTTTGATTGGTCCAAAAGCTTAAAATTAGATCACGTGGTTTTGTGAAAAATTCACAGAATAATCAGTTAGCGATATATGATTTTTTGTGAATTTTTCACAAATACTATCTCACGAGATATAGATTTCGTTTAAACAAATAATATTAAATTTTATGATTTATTTTAAGTTGAAGGTTACTCGTGATTATAAATAAATATTTATTATTTCATGTAAACAACGTTATATAATGTCTAACATTCAAATAAAAAGTAACTAACCTTGGACATTAAAAATTTATTAAATATATTGTATATTATTTTATATTCAAGTTTACTCCCAGACTTAAGTTATCCTCATTACCATCTCTATCAAGTTTTTTATATAACATATTTTTTGTGTATTAGAAATATAAAATACAGGTATACTATATATTGTACTAAATATAAAAAATTTAAATGATAACATTTTATATATTTCATAATTTTTAAGTTTCAATTTTACTATACTCACTCACTCTCTCTCTCTCTCTCTCTCTCTCTCTCTCTCTCTCTCTCTAATTATCTAAATAAGTGAATGTCATACACTTGTTGAGGTCAACAATAATATTATAAAATTTAATATTTTGTAAATATATACAGTATATACGCTATATAACTTTATATAGTGTATGCTATTTTATTACTTTAAAACTAAATTTATAAGATTTTTTTGTTTGTTTTTTAATTTGCTCTCTCTCTCTCTCTCTCTCTCTCTAATTATCTATCTATCTTTTTTATGAGATAAAGAAATAAAGTCCTTAAAAATAAATTTATGTAATTGTGTTTCTTATATAACATTATTGTTATTTATATAAATATATAATATAAATTGTAAATTAATATACAGTATTAATATATTTTATATATAAATTTGTATATTTACTGAACCGTATTGTATGGTAAAATCAATGAGTATTTTTTCAATGTTCACAAAATTAAGATAATTGTATTTGGAGGCGATTTCTTATGTAATTTACTTTAAACATATTTTTTTAAAATAAAGTTTTTTTTCCACTGATTTAAAAAAAAGTTAATTAATGATTCATTTGAATTTTATATAATGAATTGAAATAATCATATTTGTATAGCACTTGAGTTAATCTTTAATTTTGTTGTTGTGTTTGTTATACAAGTTTTACATATTTTTGTTATTATTGTATAAAGTGAAAGAAGTAAAATACATAACAATAATAATAATAATAACAATAAAACAATGAATTTCTTGTTATTATTTATCTCAAGAAATTTATTTTATATAATAAGCAAAATTCATGTAATACTTGTCTGTATCTTATTGTTAGTATTGTTGTATCATATGTTACGAACTCTACATAATTATGAATGTCTGAGAAGAGTCACAACTCTAATACCGGGAATCAATTGCCAGAACCCAGTGCTCGGAAACTTAGATATTATTACCTGTGGTATCAATAAAGATGCCGGAGTTGATGCTTATCAGGGTATGTATGCTTACTGTGTTTAATATATTAGTAGTATATATAATGTAATACAATGTATATATAATAACTATGAAAAAAAAGTATATCATTAAGTTAATCATATTATAAATTGTTACATATGTTTGTATGAAAAAATAATTAGATTTTAGTATACTATTTTATACAGTATATTAGATCATTTATTTTACGTGCTACTTGTTTTAGTTTTGTATTTTTTTTTTGTTAGTAATTTATTTTGTTGTTTTATATTTTAGTTAAATATATAAATATATATCATGTTAATAAAATAAGCAAATATAATAATTGTAAATGAATTAAAATAGGTTTAATATTTAATAATGTTGTATTTACCATAGAGTATAACTGTATAATATTCTTAAGTAGTATTATTTATTAACATAATATTACATAATAAATGAAATATTTAAATTAAACAAAACCATTATATAATTAGTTAACTATAATATTATACAATATATGTAATAGATATAAATATTACAAATATAAAACAAGAAACAAAAATTGAAATAAAATTTTTATTTTTATGTAAGTCAGTTGCAGTAATTATAATATGCAAAAAATTTTATTGATTAATTTAAGACCAATTAAAACATTTTGTGAAATTTATAATAATAATAACAATCATAACATTAGTAAAAAAATCAGTCATTTCCCTAATTATTTTATTTTATATTTGACACAATTAACAAATAATTTTTTAATTAATGAATTCAAAATAATATATATATATATTTTTTAATTATTCAGCCTTTTTTCAAGCACTTTGCGGTTTATGTAAAATATTTGAAAAACAAAGAATATTTCGCTTTTGGATGGCTTTTGAACCAATTGTTGTATTTTATAAGCCGGAGACCGTTGAGGTTAGTCTCAAAAATATAAATATTTATAACAGAATATTCTATAAAAAAATAGTAAATTAATTCATTGTTTAGAAAAAATACTAAATCATGAAAAACTAAATAAATTGGATCCTAAAATTTACTATTATTTTAAGACTATTATAAGATAATTACACCTTAAAGTGCTTTATCAACAAATAAACAATAGATTTAATTTAGTAATTTGTTTTATTTTTATTTCATCAAACATAACAATAAACTTTTTTTAAAGACAGAGAGAAAAAAAAACAATTTATAACATTTATTTGGAAAATGTTGTAATAATAAAATTAGTAACAACAGCAACATAATCATCAACAATAACAAAGTCACTGCAATATAATGATAATATTGTAAAAATTTAAATACAATGACTTTTTAATAAAAAGCCAAAGGTTTTTTTTTCATTTAGAAAACCTATTGAAGTGAATATAATATTATCTCTAAGTTTGTTAAAAGTTTTTTCATTTTAATACTTGCTTTTAATAGCATTTTATCTTTTGATTATTTATTATTATCAAAATAGTATACAATAGATATTAAAAAAGATTTTTGTATTTTATCCTTCAATTACATTCTTATGCAAAGTTAATATATTTATAATAAAATTTTGAGTTAACTTAAGCATTAATAAGCAATATATATTGCAATATACTTTTTTTAAATTACTGTATATATATATATATATATATGTTTAATATATTTTACAATTTTTTAGGTTATATAAAAAATATAATTGAATGTCTATACAGTAATTGTTCACTGTTGTATAATAAATTTTAGCATTTTTATTTGTTGAAAAATTTAATTATCAATAATGTTAATCTTGTTAAAAATTAATTTTAAAAATATTTACGACTTTATTTTTATTATTATTGTTATTATTTTTTTCAGACAATATTATCAAGTAATACAGTTTTAACAAAAGCTCGTCAATATGATTTATTATCACCATGGCTTGGATATGGATTATTAACAAGGTAAATTATATAAATAACTAAAATTTAATATAAAGTATTAAATTAATAAAGCATATTAAGTTTACAACTTGTTTAAAATCAGTTAAAATTTTGTAATTAAAAAATTTTTTACAATCAATTAATTTTATTTCTAATTTTTAAGAACTTCTAAACCAAAAAACATATTTTTATTAAATTTTAATTATTATAGTAATGAAAATCGATATACAGTACCATATATTAAGGTATAATTTACATTAGTTTATGTATTAATTACTTACTATGTTGTGTGGCTGAGTGTTAATGGATATTACATGTTAGTAAAACAAGAAAAAATTTAAAAGTGCAATATTTTTTTAGTATTATCAAAATTAATGTATGATTATAAATTACAATAATATACGACTACAAAAATATTAAGTAAAATAAGTTGTTTGGTTAATCATAGCAGTCAATAACACGAGTAAACTTAAAAATATAATTTATAGATTTTTGTTTGTTTTGGTAATATATTATATTATAAAAACAAATTAATTTCTATATATCATATTATGTTAATTTTAATTTATTACTAGAAATATTATTTATGAATAATTATTGGCAACTTAAATTACATTTTATAATATTTTTTTAGTGTTTATATATAAATACTGGAAATAACTTTAATTTTATCTAAGACACTGTAAAATTGATTCAATTATAACAAACTAAAAATTTACAATTGAAGCAATTTTTTTAAATTTTAATTATTTTTACATATAAGATATAACAACAATATACTTACAAACTTAATATATTCAATAATTTTATGTATCTTTAAAAACAATATTTTAAAATCATTACATAATAAGAAATTTTAATTCAATAAAAAAGACAATCAAAGAGATATTTTCTACTAATTAAATAAAATGATCAAATATTTACTGTCCAAACAAAACCAGTGGCGGAAATAAGTGGCGATTGCGTCGGAAACTACTGACGCCATCATTTCATTTCCGCATTTTGGAGGACTTTCTGCCGATAATGAGTGAACATCTCATCGTATTTGTTGATCTGATGCGGAAACAGACTCTCGTCAACAATGGTATTGTCGACGACATCACTCCATACATCACCAGATGTGCACTCGATATCATTTGCGGTCAGTTATTACATATTAACAAATATTTTATACTTATATACTATACTAGTATTGATAATAAAATAGTATATATATATATATATAATACTCCTTTATATCAAATTATATTTTTTATATATATCAATATATAGCATTGTATATATATCAATATATAGCATTGTATATATATTACTGATATGATATACTTTATATTTGTATTTTTGTTATCATTGTTTAGTTTAGTTATTTTTTATTATCTCAAAATTTATTTTCACTATCATTGATATCACATCACATTTATCGTTATGTCAACTATACAGTAGTAATAAAATACGATAAGCTTTTCAAATCAAAAATATCAAATTTAAAGTTTTATTTCAATATTGATTTTTTGACTATTTGTTCAAAAATTGTACACAATTTAATGTAAATGTTTAGACCATTAGTAAAATGCGAGTTGTCTATTTTTATCAAAATAAATATTAATATTACTTATGTTATATATATATACTATAAATAAACGTTATATTGTATGTATATACTATCAGTGATGTTAAGTTTAGTTTAATTTATTTTTAAGTTGAACTTTATCATAAATATAAATTATTAAAAATTCTGATATTAAATAAATAAGTTTAGAATAATAAAATTAATAGTAACTAAAAAAGTTATATAAAATTTTGATAAAAATACAGTATAATTAGTTGTTTACTATTTAAATATAACTTATTTATTAATACGATATAAGTATACGATTTAAAAGTAATTTTAAAATTGACACAACTGTATGCAATCCTACAGTTTGTTCATTTAACTTATTAGTAAATTATTGTCATATTGAGTACTAATTTTCAGGCACTTTACAACCTTAATTTTTTTTATAAATTTACAACTTTGACAAATATACATTATTTAATAACAGTGTATATATTTATTAATATGTTATTTTCATATACAGTACTGTAACTGTAGTATGCATTCATGGAAATGATATAAACATATTATTGTTTATTTTAGGAGATACTCTCTCTCTCTCTCTCTCTCTCTCTCTCTCTCTCTCACACACACACACACACACACACACACACCGACATATCAAATATGATTTTAATATTAAATAAACAAAAATATTCATTAATATGATTATAGAGACTGCAATGGGAATCAAAATGGATTCACAAATTCATTTGGACAGCCCTTATGTAAAAGCCATTCATCAGTGAGTATATATATACACAGTATTCTTACAGTTAAATCAAATTTATACAGATCTCTATGTGTTTGCCATTATAAATAAATCACATTAAATCAATATGATTTTTTTGTATGGCTTGAAGTGTATATTTCATAAACAATTATTTAGATAATTTTCTACATGATTTAACCTATTTATATTTTTGTTTGACATCTACGAAAAAAACTTATTTTTTATATACTGTATATAATATAACTTTTTTTTTCGTTATAAAATAGCTAAACAAATTATATTGACAATTGTAAATAATAATTTTTTTCTAGGTTTAGATTTATCTGGCTACAATTTAGTATAGAAATAAATAAATAAATATATATATATATATATATATATAGGGCAACAAAATACTGTAGATTAAAAATAAATGAGTAAAAAATTACTAACAAATTAAGCGAAACAGTAATTGTATCTTACGTTTTATTTATATAGTTATACTTAAGATTATTGCAATCAAACAAATTGTTTAATAAAATGTTTTATTAATAAAACAATTGACCAAAATTTTATATTAAATTGAATTATAAAACAATTATAATTTTTATTTAGATTAATTTATCATCAAATTTATCAAATATGAGTTAATATTTTATTTGTGAATTTTAGTTTTATAAACAACAGTAATACAGTATATACAATATATTCATTAAATGATATTAAATTAAAATACTGTATATTAGATATTGTATAATTCATCAAATCTAATAATATTAACAAAAGTTAACTATGAAAATAAAAAGAGATCATCAATAATTATAATTAAAAAATAAAATTATCTAAATGTTTGTTTGTTTCATTTAAATAATTGGTAGTTATAATACAAATAATACAAATTAATAAGTTATTTATTTTTAAAAAACATTTGAAAGTATTACATATTACTAATAAGTATTTTATATTTATAGCTGAATAATAAATTGTTATAATAATCTGGATTTATATATAAAACAGTATTAATATTACATTTAGTAATTTATCAACATTTGACTAAAATATAGAAATAAAAATGATCAATCTTAATTTTCTATATATTACTCCTTTTATATCAATCAAATTCAATTTACATTTGATAAAACACAGTCAATGTATAAACAAATGTAATATCAAATATGATTTTATGATTTGTTTGTAGTATAATACTACATAAGTAAATAGCATTTTCATATTTTTCATTCATTATATTTGAAATATAGAATATTTAAAACAAATAATTTTAGTAATATTTTTAAAAATAAATATTGTATATTAACTTGAAGAAACTATGTTAATATACTGTATATAATCTTATATATATATATATATATATATATATATATATTGAATATAGTTATAATTTATACAGTTATTTAAGTTTCATGACAAGCACGAGATATGGATTTAGAGATGGGCAAATAAAAAGTTTCTAATAAATTCCCCTGAGAAAGTTTCTAGAAAATTTCTCATGATTAAATTTCTATAGAAATTTAACTTTAGTGTCATACTATAGGATCCCCATATCTATAGATATTGTAATACTGTATTAATGAAACATAATACTATACATATACTATTATTCTACACTACTATACAAAATTGGATACCTATATATAAAATTATTATTGTTATTTGATAATCAGTTTTGTAAAATATATATCATAGTTTAATATAATTAAATTAATTATTTTTTACTTTAATTAATAATTAAAATACTAATACTAATATTTAATTATTACCTGTAAAAATAATGTTTTTTACAAGATAAAAATATAGAGAAAACAAAATTAACATCGGGATCGCATAGATAATTTTTTTTAGAAACTTTCTAAAAATTTCTCTTTTTTGTCAACACTATGTGCATTAAATAAATTATTTTTACTAATAATATATCGTATTATTATAGAATATGCTATTATTGTGATGTTTGGTAAAGTTATTAGTTTTTATATCATCATATTATTTATTGACATTTATATTTTAAAATATAATTATATACTCTAGATACTTTACTTTACTTTATTTAGTTTTAATATATTTAATGTAAAAGGTCTTATGTTTTACATACCTGTGCTATCATACACTCGAATTGTTTTATATGTTTTTTAAGTATATTTAACTTTCAATTTTTACTTGACTTACTGTATACCACTGTCTTATTATGTTTTAGTTAAACCCAAGTTATATAATATACAGTACTTGTATATATAAAACATATACAGTATATATTGATTTAGTTTTTGACTTTATTTTAGTTTTTTTTAAATAAAAGTCATTTCTATTGAAGTATATATTATTATATTTTTAGACAATGTTTATCCACTGAAAACATTTATACTGTGTATGTTAAAACAAAATAATACAGGATTTAAACATTTTATATATTTATTTATTTATTTTTTACTTTTTCTATATTTAAACAAATGTTTTGCTTTCTGGGAATTAATTACAAGAGTTAAAAGAGTTTTTCTTAAAAAAATACAATCTTTATATCAAACAGTTATTGTTTGTTTAGATGTGTGTGTAATGTGAATATAATTAAAGACATTTTCTCAGAATATTAATTTTTTCAATTAATTTTTAGACTTAATTTCGAAAACAAAATATTTACTAATCTTTTAAAACTTATATAAATATTAATTGTGTTTTTTTAAAGTATTACAGTACATACAGTATAGCTACTGTATGTGTATTACATTGTTATTTATTAAAAAATGTTAGCATAAGTAATGTTATTGTTATAGATGACAATAAAACATGACAATTTAAATTAATGGAAATTTAAACTTTATATAATATATTGTATTAATTTATAATTTAATAGAAGATAAATAAATAAAAATAAATTTAACACAAATTTTCTTTAAAAAAAATTATTATATTGATAAAATTATTTTAATTATAAAATTAAAATTAAACAATAAAGTTTTTATTACATTAAGCAAACACTATATAATTAAGTTATTAATTATTTATAAATTAATATACTGTATGTAAAAATAATGATAATAATTCTAATAATAAGATATTCATGAATCTTGGTTTTAAAGTACTTATGTATATAATTAATCAATTATTAATATAAGTTGTTTATATTATATGTTAATAAATATAAATCTTATTTATTGTTATCTTATTTTTGCAGAACCGGAGAGCTATTCCTCTTAAGAATGTTAAGGCCATGGCTTTGGAATGACTTCATATACAGACAGACACCAAACGGCAAGAAATTCTTCAATAATATGGATATTCTTCACGGATTTACTGATAATGTATGCAAAACTTGTTTAAACAAAAACTAATAATTATTTAAAACCTTTTCTAATTTTTTTTAATTTAATTAATTTTTTTCAAACTAATAAATTGTGTAAATCGTGTTATAATTATTAACAAATATCACACAATAGGTTATTAAAGAAAGAAAGAGAGAACTTCTCGACGAAATTAACAGAAATGACAAATGTTTCATAACTAATAACGAGACAAATAGTGATCACAGACGTCGTCAAGCATTCCTCGACAGTCTTCTCAGCGAACACTTTAGAAATCCCGAGTTTACCGAAGAGGATATTCGTGAAGAAGTGGACACTTTTATGTTTGAAGGACACGATACAACATCAATGGCCATTAGTTGGACATTGCATCTGATTGGTCGCGACCAGAGTGTACAGGACAAGTGTCATCAGGAATTGGATACAATATTTGATGGTACGGACGGCGATCGGCGGCCATTAACTATGAATGACTTGCGGGAAATGAAATATCTGGAGGCGTGTATTAAGGAGGCGTTGCGTCTATTTCCGTCCGTACCGTTTATTGGTCGTCAACTTAACGAAGACATCAATATCAACGGTCATTCAGTGCCAAAAGGTGTCACTTGTCTCCTATTCCTATATCAGTTGCACAGAGACCCGGAGTGTTTCCCGCAGCCTGAGGTCTACCGGCCCGACAGATTTTTGGACAGAGAAAATATGACCAGACATCCATTTGCTTATGTACCATTTTCGGCCGGTCCCAGAAACTGTATTGGCCAGAAGTTTGCTCTGTTAGAGGAAAAGGCATTGTTGGCAACCATATTGAGAAACTTTAGGATCAGATCACTGGACACGAGAGATGTTATCAAAGTAGCGCCAGAAATGGTTATCCGTCCGAAAACACCGATTCGTATGGAATTTGTTTCGCGGAAATTATAATATATATATAAATATAAATTTATATCATATAATACTGTATAATATAGTAATATCGCTGACATTAGGATATTGTACTATAATTTATATAATTATTTTGTATTTAATGCATATTATAAATATTTCATAAATATTATATATTATTATTATTTTGTACTGTATCTTAAAATGTCTATTTCATATTTGTAATTAGTTTGACATAATTTTATTAATATAAAAAAATATTCATTAAAAAGTTAAATATTTTTGTTTACACCCAAAATTTTTATGATTAATTTGTAATAATCTCATACTTCATACTTCATTATTAATTATTTTTGAAATCAATTAAATAATTATTTTTATTATTAATAAATTTACAGTATTGAACTTATTAATAATACAAAATGATATACTGTATATTATATCAGTATATTATCTTATAATAGATTGAAAATACAATTATTTAAAATTAATTTATTATATCAAAATATATTAATGTATGCTAATTTATATTTTTAAAAAATTAAAAATATTATTTCAAAAAATTATAATAAAATATAACATTAAACTTTATTAAACAATAACAATAATATTATTTTATTTATATATAGGACACTCTATTATATTACAATAATGTACAATAAATACTCTTTATAAAATATTATTAAATAATAATAGATAATTTAGCATACAAAATGTAAATATAATTGTCATAAAAATTGTCGCACAAGTAGTTTATACATAATTATGGGCATAATATTGTTGTTACATAACTAAATGGTAACGCTATTGAAAAAATACATACAATATTTCCTCTATAAAATAGATAAATAATGTACTTTATAATGAGTTTTAAAAAAAGTTCATAAATCTTACATTAAAAATCATATATAGTATAGACTATAGTATAGGCTAGTATAGACTAGCATTGAAACAAAACGATTAGTATATTTTAATTTAAAATTTATTCAAAATTATTATTGAAATCAAATTTTGGAAAAAAATTTTATTACTAATACAGTAACTATTTGTACTGATTTTTATAGTATTTTTTAATGTAAAAGTTCAATAAATCAAATAAATTTATTTTAAAAAAAAAACTTTTGTAGGTATCTTACCAATGATTTTATTAATGACTTCAAGGACTAGTACTACTACTACAACAACAGTATAGTAGAGCAATAATATGATAATAACAACAGTAAGAGAAAGTTAATTATTATTAAACATATATATAAACACTAGTAATAATAAATAATATATAATTTTTGTTTTTTAAAAATATATAGATATATTTCTGGGCTATTTGTCATTCCGGTAAAAAGTCATTGTAGCGGAATGCCTTCAAAACAACAACAAAAAAAAAGGTATAGACATTGCCGACATAATACACGTACACACAATTTCTAGACATTCCTGAGGACAGTAAGGATTTTTATTATTATTATTATATATTTTTTGAGTGAAATACAATCTTTAGCTTTTCAATATTATTAGGCAAAAAAATATTTAATTAAATTTTTGTGGTGAATGCTATTTTATATATATATATAGTGCATAGTGTATGGTATATGGAAAATATTTTTAATATATAATTTTTATTATTAATATTATGAAAAATGAATAAATAGTTGTTTGTGTCTGTGTTTGAGGAATACCCTAAATAGTATCATAAGATTGTCGACAAATAGAAAAAATGTCTGTAATCGGCAGCAAAATAGCCGGACTAATACAGGGACTATCGTCGAGAGTGTCGACTAATTTAACGACAACAACACTGGTCCGGGCGTTCATTGTTTTGGCCATTATCTGGTTTGTCACTAAACGGCTCATACCATGGCTGAGGCTAATCAAAAGCAAGTGCCATACCATAGACCAGATGCCGGGACCCAAATGTTTTAATGCAATTATGGGTAACGTTCCTCTGGCTATACTCAAGAATATGATGAGCGAGTCAGAGGAATCCAAGAATCTATTAGTAAGTAAGTGAATAACCATTTCTTTATTATATAACTAATTTATAACTCAAACTTTTTTTTGTTGATGTTGTTGTTGTTATGCCTTATTATTGTTATGTTATGTACAGTATTTAGTTAATATTATTTAGTATTTATTTATAGATTATTTTTGTTTCTTATTTTCGTTCATTTATATAACAATATATTTATATACTGTATATAATTCTATTCTTTACCGTTAATACTATTTTTATTAGTTTTATTTTACCTTTTTTTATATATAAAATTATATTGAGTGCAATTTATTTCTCGACTAATCACACAATAAATATAGACACACGTTATACACATTGACTAAAATAATAATATTTTATAAAGACAACAATTTCCCATTAAATGTCGTTTTTATATATAGTAATTGAATTTTAATGCTTTGTGTTTATTTACGATTTTTATGTTTCATTAACTAAATTATAAAAAAATTATATGTCATAATTTAATTGACGATTTTGTTTTTACATACAAAATATAATAAAAAAATTAAAAAAAAGTTACTAATGAGTTATATTTAAAATTGTATTAATTAATAAGATAAATATAATACATCATATATATACAGTATATAACTTTAATTGTCTGAATTAGCTATGAAGTAGTCTTATAAAAAATCAATTATTATTAAGTTAAAAATTAATTGTCTATTTTTTAAATAAAAATCATTGGATGTATGCAATGATAAAAAATTATCTCTTGTAAAATAAAAAATTATCAAAAAAATATTTTTAAATTTAAATTTCATTTCATTTAAATGCCTAATTAGTAAAAGAATATTATTATTAAATTTTTAAAAATTTTATTTAATTAATTAATAACAAACTTAATAGATCTGATGCAAGCGGTTAGCGGTTATACCATAGTTTACGCCAAAGAGAAGATATTTCGCATTTGGCTTTCATGGGAACCGATGGTCTTTCTCTGGAATCCCGAAACTGTTGAGTCTGTATTGTCTAACAATTTTTTACTGGAAAAGTCAACACAATATAAGTTTTTGCATCCCTGGTTGGGCACGGGATTACTCACATCGACCGGTCAAAAGTGGCGATCACGGCGTAAGCTATTGGTGCCGGCCTTTCATTTCAAAATATTGCACGACTTCGTCCCGGTTTTCAATGAACAGTCGGTTATATTGATCAACAAATTACAGCAAATTGCTCGCAGAAAATGTCACAATTGTACTGTCGTTGATATCGTGCCAGTGATTACTGCCTGTACTTTGGACATCATTTGCCGTATGTTATTATTATTATCAATCAATTATATATAATAAACCTAACCCTACTTGACCTATACTTACAAATAATTACTTGTCTGTGTGTGTGTATGTGCTCTCAGAGCAACTGTATGTCATACAACTCGACATCATTTGCCGATTAATGTATCGCACAGTTCATTAAAATCCCATAATTTTTTGATATCGTGTTCATTATATTATGACAATTGCCATATATTGTAATAATAATAATAAGGGATGCAATTTGTGAGACAATTATAAATATAATATATATATACTGTTTAAGAGTAATATTGTTGCCCGGGATAGTACACTATATAATAAACACTAATACTGTTTTAATTAACCGATTTTTCCATTGTTATATTTGTTTTGATTTTTTTGTTTGTTTGCTTCATATAATAATTTACCGGTATATAATAGGTTAAATAATTAAAAGCAACTAATAATATGTGTATTATTATTATTATAATTAAATAGTTATATTATTAATGAATAATTTTAGTTTTATTAGTTAATACAGCAAACTACAGTAATAATAATAGTCTCATATAATGCTAAAAATAATTTATTTTGACATTAAATTTCAATTAGTTTATTAATTTGTTGACTATATTCCTCAAAATTACTACTTATTAGTTTTAATTTATTTTTAGTGTAAATCACAATTTTAAGGATATATTTACAAATAGGTTTTAATGCTAATTATTATATAAATAATATATTATTTTGTCATTTGATCATATTATCGTAAATAACATAAATAATTAACAAAAATTAGTATTATTTATTTAGAATATTTATTTAGAAATTATTTTTTATTACTTAAAATACAAATATAAATATTTTTTAAAACTATACGATTATATAAAATAAAAACTTACTTTAAATATTATTTAGCATTGTATGATAATTTATTCAATTAACAATTTTATATAATTTTTAATTTAATTTAAAACAATTAAATAATGTAACAAATGATTTACCGATTGATAATCATATTGTCATTTACTGTATGGATAGAAACAATAATGGGTGTATCGATCGGAGCTCAGGGCAACAATAGGAACGGCTACTGTCGGTCTGTTACTGAGTAAGTCTATAACAAATAAATTGTCATTTTTTCACTTATTATTGTATTATATATTAAGTTAAGTCGTCGTCGTCTTTGACTTTTTCTTCTTATTCTTCTCTAAGGATTAATTCTTGGCATTCATTCATCCTTTTCTTCATTGCTATCATTTTTATTTAATAACTGATCCATCGATAAAATCCTACTTTTATTATTGTATTATACATATTATATACCGGTATATATACTGTATATATATACAGTATATACATTATATATGTGTGTTATACTGTATATACCGTTCCCTAACCTAACCTTTTGTTCTCTGTGTTTATATATTGATTTTAGGAGTGAAAGCGCTTTCCAAATCCATTATACCTATTAAATGCTTTAATAATCACAAACAAAGTTATCAATGAAAGAGAGAGAGAGAGAGAAAGAGAGAGAGAGAGAGAGAGAGAGAGAGAGAGAGAGAAAGAAAGAAAGAAAGAGAGAAAGAAAGAGAGAGAGAGAGAGAGAGAGAAAGAAAGAAAGAGAGAAAGAAAGAGAGAAAGAAAGAAAGAGAGAGAGAGAGAGAGAGAAAGAAAGAAAGAAAGAAAGAGAGAAAGAAAGAAAGAGAGAGAGAGAGAGAGAGATTTCAATTAGATTATAAAATATGAATAAAATACATAATATAGTGTTTCAATATTTTTTTATTAAAAATAAATTGAATTAATTTTTAATCAGCAAACATTATAAACAATTGAATAGATTATTGAAAATTTGAAAACAAATTTCTATAGAAATATTATTATTAAACAACACTTTTATTAACAATATAGTAATTTAAAAATATTAATTAAAACAAAATATTAATTATTAATTATTATTAAACATTTTTGAAAACAATTTCTATAGGGTTGGCGAATGCTTTTTGGAGCGTCTATTACAGCCCACGTATTGGTCGGATCAGGTCTACTATCGATCGGAAAAGGGCTACCGATTCTCGGAAAATCTGATAAAATTACACGCATTCACGCGTAAAGTGATTCGCGACCGAAAGGCCGATATCTTAAACAATTCGTTCAATATCTATAAGACAAACGGTGGCGACGATGGCGGTGAAGAACACCGAAGAAAAGCGTTTCTCGATCTACTTCTTGACCATCACATCACTGGCGGTGAAATGAGCGAAGAGGACATCAGAGAAGAAGTGGACACTTTTATGTTTGAAGGTATGGACACATATTTTTTTAACAATATATGGCAACAAATGTATGTCATTTTGTTTGTGCGGTTTTTTAAGTGTGGGATTTATAGTCCAATAGTTAAATGCAAACCCAATGTAAATATATATTTAATAATACTTTCCATTCATTCATTCAGCCATACATTGCATTGAATTCAGTATTCATTGTAAACAAGTTTTTCAGTACTATTTTTCGTTAATTATATATGCATTTAAATCCTTTTTATTTGCCTAATTATAGCCAAACAACAGACAAAATTCATTTCCTATTATTTTGTTTTGTTGTTGTTATTGTTGTTGTTGTTGTTGAACATGTATTGTATCGTATTTTTATAGGAAAATAGTAAAATCTTGTAATACATTATAAAAATAAAATAAAAGTTTTTATCTGTAATCTGTATAATTGAGTCACACTTTAATGGATTTTTTTGTTCATTCAATGATTAATTACTTAAAAACTAAAGATTTCTAATGAATTACTGAATCAAATAGATTTATAATATGCAGTATTTATTTAAAAATATATTAGTTATATAAAGAACATATTAAATTAATATTAATATTACTGAATTAAAAAATATATATTTAATTATAATTAACAAACTTATATATTTCAATTAATAAAAATTATTTTTAATAATATATTAATTATTATACTTTAAAAAATTATGATTACTACTAATTTTTAATAATAATAATATTATTATTTTAAACAAATAACTCAGAATTTTTAATATAAGAAATAAGAATTCAGTATTTTTTTAACTAAAATTATTACTCATAAATAATAAATGATTGAATATTTTTAAATATTTTTTTGTTGCTACTGTATTATTAGCTCTTATTTGTAAAATGAATAAATAAATAATGCAAAATTAAATTTTCTATTACTTATTAATAGCTAATATATATGGTTTGTTTATCTATCTTTTTGTTTGGTTTTTTATACAAATTTTTAACCAAATTGGTTAATATTTTTTTTGCAATTATTTTAAATATTAAATGATATTTACATTATTAATATAATCAAATAAAAAAATATTATTATTTCTCAACAAACATTACAAACATATAACATAAACATATTATTATTATAGCGATAACAGATATACAGTATAAGTTTAATTAGATTTTTAAATATTTTATGTATTCCTATAGAAAATAAATTTATGCTAAATTATATACGATATATAATTTAAATTACAGAATATCATTTAAAAAATCAATAAATATTTGATTAAATTAAGTTTATAAGATTATACAGTATTTAAAAAAAAATTAAGTTAAAGGATTATTAAACAGACAAAAACACATTAAATCCTACTTTAATTCAAATTTATAATTGTATTGTCTTTTTTTGTTGTATCCATTTTTTTTGACGACAGGTCACGACACAACAGCAATGGCTCTTTCGTGGATAATCTTCCTATTGGGTCACAGTCCCGAAATCCAGGCCCGAGCCGCTTCCGAAGTGGACACCATTTTTGAGGAGACGGAGGACATGGCCGAGAAAAATGCCGAAAAGTTTTTGCTATCATTGGATAAACTCAAAGAACTCAAATACCTGGAGTGTTGTATTAAGGAAGGGCTGCGACTGTGTCCGTCCGTACCGTTTATCGGGCGTCGGCTTCACGATGACATGAAAATCAATGGCTATACGATACCCGAGGGTACCATCATATTTGTCTACATTTATATGTTGCACAGGGATCCAAAAGTGTGGACCAATCCGGAACAATTTGACCCGGATCGATTTCTACCGGAAAACTCTGTGGGCAGACACCCGTTTGCATTTGTACCGTTTTCGGCCGGTCCGCGTAACTGTATTGGCCAGAGATTTGCTATATCGGAGCTCAAAGTAGTGCTGGCATTCCTGTTGCGGAACTTCCGTTTCGAGTCGTTAGAGCACCGGGATAAAATTACTACACAAATGGAAATGGTGTTTAGACCCAAAGTTCCCATTAAAGTTAGAATCTATGAGAGAAGTAAAAATTAATGACAACTATTAATAATAAATTACATTTAAAATCATTTTTAAATTATTATTGATTAACATATTTTTTTAATGAATTTAATTAAATACTACTGACCCTGGTTTATTTTATTATATTGACTAATTTTATTATAATTAAGTTTTAATGTTAACTTTTTTTGTAAATTAGTTAAAATATAGAAAAATTAATTAATAGGATAATTATTTTTAACAAATTTTTGATTTATTTTAGATATGATAAAAATATAATCTTATTCTAGATTATATAATATTTATCAATGAAATAAAATTTTAAAATAACTAAATAAATAAATAAAATACAAAAATATACATATATTAATTATTGCATATTTTATTCGTAACAATATGCCATTTAAATAAATTAATATATTTTACAGTTACTTTATATTTCATATATTATAAAACAATAAATTTTTTATAACATTTAAAATCAATAAAAATTATTTTCTATAATATATAAATTTAAATTAACTTTATAGTCATAAAAATTGTTATAAAATAATGTCATTGACTCAAATTAATTATATTTGAATAATTTATTAAAGTTATAAACCATTAAAAGACATTAAAAGACATTAAAAATATTATAAAAACTTAATTTTTATTTTCTGATTGTTTGTCAAAATAAAAATATGATTGAAAATACAGATTAATTATATTGAAGGTCCTCCAGGAGCTCGAGGACAGGCAATGAGTTATCTATACATATACACAGTATTACATAAGTTTATATACTCTATTGAAACTTACAAACATTTTCAGTGCTATTTAGTACTACTACTACTACTCTGTAGTAAAACAAAACAAAAATAACTGTATTAATTTCACAATGTATACTAGTATACAATATACGTACTGAATATTAATTTTAAAAAATAAATAGACCAAAATTTATATATAATACATTAACCAAAATTTCAAAAATTAAAAAAAAAATAAAAAGGTAATGTATAAGCAAAAAAATAACCATTGACCCGGACGTGATTTGAACACGCAACCTTCTGATCTGGAGTCAGACGCGCTACCGTTGCGCCACCGAGCCGTACATACATAGCTTAGTATTGAATAATTATTTATAATGTATACTAATTTCTAAGCCTAAGCTCAAGCAAACAATTTAATAACAATTATTAAGTTAAAGTTTTAATAATGTTATCATCAATCAATAAATTCAATAATTATATGTAGTTCAAAAAATAAATTACAATTTGTTATATATCTAAATAATAGTAATACATGTATTACACATGTATTATTTCAATGGCAATTGTGTCTAAAAAATACTATTTAGGCACACATTTATAATACAATGTTTTCCCTTTAATCGATTGATAATAATTGTAAATAGATGGCGCTTATGTTATCAATATTACTCTACCATATATTAATTAATAGCACAAGTTTTTATAATGTATACAAATTAATTAATTATCATAATTTTATTTAACATATTTTATAGTATAAGTTTTTTTTAAAATTTTGGTTATATTATTAATCTGATAAATCAAACTTTTTTATATATAAATAAATGCTATTATTTTATTTATCATAGATTATAATATATATATATAATTTATATATATATACAGTAGTAGTGAATGTTATTGCATTTAAAAAAGTTAAAGCATTATAAATTATTTATCATTATAACATTATAAATTATAAGTATTAATTTAAACTATATATTTAATATAATATAGTAGAGATTATAGTAAGACATGTTTTATATTTAGTAATTTATTTTTTAAATCGATTTGATATAATATTTTATTTATTAAAAAATTATATTTATAATTTTTTAATAAATGTAGAGATTATATAAATTTTAATGAAATATATTGTTTTTTAGTTTCCAAAAAATTGATTTTTTAAATAAACAATTACATCAATGAATCTAATGAATTACTTACTCTTATTTAATATTTAATATAAACTTCACTATACTTTCATTTTAACTAATCCTTCAAACACTTGATTGGGTATTGTTTGGCAAACAGTCTGTTTCAGTACTGATAAAAATATGTACAAAAATTTTATTTTTAATTTACAAAAAAATAATAAAAGCAAATATAAGACCACATATCATATAAAACATTAATATTATAGTACTGTAAGGTATAGTAGTGTTTTAATAAGACTTTAGTGGTTTTATATCGCATTTGATATAAAAATTTTGTGGTAAAAGAATTTATTATTTGAAACACTAGACTATCAAAAATCTTGTTTATTATAAAATTATTTTTCTGATCACATAATAATAACAATAATATGTTATACAGAGTATAAGCGGCAGAGGATAGACTAAAAAAACTTTTTATATATTATGCAATATGTTTGCAATTATGTTAAGAAATTTACATAATATGAATAATTTAAGTAAACTATTTGAATGTTTTCAATGTACGCCCAGATATTCAATAATCTTAATATATTTGGCTATACTTATAGATAACCTGTTGCTAACATCGGTGGGTAAGTCAAAGATTAAATATATTTTTGATTAACATATTTATATTAAATATATATAATTTAAAACATTTTGATGACTTACAAAATCCAAGTGCCAGTAATTCCCGACTATTTGAACAAATTAATGGACAATTCAAGCGATACAATAACATTATCGATGCCATTGTTTCGTAATATAATTGATACAAATCTAACGAAAAATGAAAATCTGAGTCTTATTTATCAAAATATAATATCAATGCATTCAAACACTGTGTTTGACGACGAAAACGGAAGATTGGGTTTTCTATTGTCGACCAAAGCGTTCGTCCAATTCTTCTGCAACTTCTTTGTCAGTCCTTTAATCAATCGATTTGGTTATGAAGTCATTCAGATTACCGGATCTGTTATCCTATTGCTGTCATCGTTGAGTAAGTCAATAGATAAGACAATTTTTAGTTTGAAATAATATATTTAATTAATTTAATTAAAATTATTTTTTCAGTGTATTTGATGGGCGAGTCGTTTATTATGCTATTAATTCCCCGTTGTATTCAAGGCATCGCTTCGGCATTTATAACTGTTTCCGGTTATAATTAAATTTTTACTTTAGATATCAATTTATTAACACTAATCCTAATTGATCTCTAATTTGTTTTAAATTAACTTTAAACTATTAGGTATGGCAATGATTGCCAATATGTATCCCAAACAGGAGACCCGATCGGCAGTCATGGGCTTTGCACTGGGAGGTATGGCTGTCGGTGTTTTAATTGGCTATCCATTTGGCGGATTTCTTTATGAGTTTATGGGAAAATCGGCTCCGTTTGCTATCATAGCATTGTTGACAGTTTTACTAATTGGTATATTTGTATTAATAATAATAATAATTATGATTATTATTTATAAATTATCGATTAAAAATTTATAAATAGTTGCACAGTTGACAACCTTTAATTGGTCAGTAAGATATGGAAGCTTTCTGTATGATATACCTGTTTTGAACATTATATCTGATAAATACATTATAGTATCAATAGGTAAAACAACTGCTATTAGTAATTATATAACATGTCTAGAATTATAACAAAATTTAATTATTTATTACAATAGGTATGATTGCTGTGTCGACAACATCGATGTCTATACTGGAGTCATGTTTGCCTCTATGGCTCATTGAGACAATGGATCCCAAACCTAAAAAATGGCAATTAGGTTTATAAATATGATTTATTTAAGCATATTTTAATTTTATATTTAATTTATAATTATATTTTTATCAATTTAATAGGAACTGTATTTATTCCTGACAGCATTGGCTATCTAATTGGTACTAATTTTTTAATATCATGTTTTGCATACAAATGCAAAAGGTATTTATTATAGTCTAGAAAAATAAATTAATCATTTTTTAATATAAATAATTAAAACTAATTAAATATTCAATTGCATTATATTATTATTATATCAATATTTAATTATTATAAAAGATGGATTACAGCTATGATCTCATTAGCACTGGTAGGCCTAAGCGCACTGACCATACCATTAGCATCAAATATGAATCACTTAATTATTCCTCATTTTGGTTTAGGATTAGGGATTGGTAGCTATTAAATTAGTACTTATAAGTAAAGCTATTTATATAATTAATGAATTAATTTCAGGTACCATAGATGCGGCAATTATGCCATTTTTGGCTAATATAGTGGACACCAAATATTTTACACTTTACGGCAGTGTCTATGCCATCGCACAGACAGCCGTGTGTTTGGCCTATTCATTGGGGCCACTCATCAGTGGACAACTCATTCAATTAGGTGTTGACTTTTCAACGCTGATCCGTGCAGTGGGTCTCATGAATCTCATGTATTGTCCGTTATGTCTAATTTTAAGACATTTTGAAAACTATGAATACGATAGCGAAAAGGTTAGTATGAAAGTACAAAAAAATTTAAAGTAATGACAAAAAAACGAATGATTCAATTTTATTTGTATATTATTTTATAAACTAATATCAAATAATAATAATTATTATACTATTAATTATAGCAAACCATTTGCGAGAGTAATATCAATCAAAATGATTATTCATCAATAACTGATGCAACGGTTACACAATTTATACCATTTATTAATGAAGACTAATATGTTATATATTCTGTATATTAATAATTAATCAAATATTACTGTTTTATTTTAAACAAAACTATACACTATTTAATTGTTGTATTATCTGTACTTAAATTAATTGACCTTTATGAATTTTATGACTTTGATAAATTATTGATAATGATTACTAAATAATCATAAAATATTATACTAGTAATCTATCAAAACTAACTAATGTATGAAAGTAAAACAATATATAATTTAACATTAAAATATTATTTATTGAATATAAATTATAATATAAATAAAATAAAATTATAATTATATTTTGAAATATGAACCAAAATCAGTGTATTGTTCAATTAAAGTTTCAAAATTGATGACATTATAATAATAATATTATTATTAATAGTAAACAAGTTGTTTGACCACTAGTTGGTGACCTATTGTCGGAGTTACACACATACAGTATAATTAGTACTACTTGTATGACAATATAGTATGTGAAGGACAGTCAGGTAACCGATAACATCAATGTATTGATTAGATAGCAAAAAACGGTGGGTATCTTCAAGAGGTACATAACTATAGCATTATTGCCTTTAAACAAAAACTTTGTATTGTGTTTTGCATATACTGTACAACAAAATCCGTTAATCAGATTAACAAAAACATTGTTTTGTTTGTTTGACAATCAGTGAAAAACTATAGTACAGTATAAGAAAATAGACAATTGTTTAACATCTAATTGTATTATTAAAATAAATATTTTTTTAAATGATTTATTTTAGTTTTGTTATATAAAATACACTTAAATAACTTATAGGTAAAATCATATCCTGAACAACATTTTATGGGATTTTAATTTATTACCGGTATTGTAATTGTCTTTAAAAATATGATTATATAATTTTTTCAATCATATGCCAAAATGTTTATATATTTATCTATCATTTATGATATGATTTGTCTAATAGTAAGTCACATGAAATGACTGTCTTTTTTTCATAAATTTGTTTTCAAAATAAAATTATTTTTATATATAAAAAATCAAACTTATATTATGTATTAAAAAATGCTTATAAAGTTATTAATAATTAATTTAGTATTAATTAAATCAATTGTCTTAATTAAACTTAAACAAACTGAAACATTTACCGATTGGCGTATTGGCTCCAGCACTGGCAAGTCTAGTACTACCTCTCGATCTAACGGTGCTTACGCCGAAAGTAAGTCAATATATAATTATTTTAAAATTGTTTATAATTAAAAGTAATCAATCTTATAATATTTTAAAAAATAAAATAAAATGTAAATAAAGACATTAAATGCAATAAAGACATCGATGAAGAGTATTTCAATGCCATCGTAACACTGCCGACCGGTTTCGGTACGGTTCCCGTCTTTAATGAGGCCTCTAATGTCAACCCGAGTATATCGGATCAATGTGTCATCAAACAGACGTCAATCGGAAGCAACAAGTTTTTGGTTAAAATACAGGATTTAGAGTCTTGTGGTGTCCAAACACAGAAGGCAGCCGATGGTGCCGTTTGGATGTCAGTTTCGCTCAGATTTCCATTGATTGGATCCCTCAGAACAGCTGAAGATGAAGTGTAAGTATTAATTTTTCATTGATATCATAAATCACATTATTTAGTGATAAATCAGAATTGAAAATATGACATATCTTTTTTAAAAAATAGTATTACACTAATGTGTAGACCACGAGAAAGGATTATTGTCAGAAACCATGTCCTCGACATTAAAAGTCAAATGTAAGACAATTATTGATAGACAAGACATTTAATGATTGAATAAAATAATTTTTGTTGTTTTTAGTCAAAATCCATTGCGGACTGTATTCAGTAGTTCTCCTCTTGACTTTGACTGCAATCTGGATGTATATCTCAAATCAGATAACGAAAACTCGTTTAGTCGTATGATTCCCACTGAAGATGTCATTGAAGTCGGACAAGAAGTACAGTTGAGAGCTACCATTAGATCCGGAGACGGTATTTATATTTTATATTAAAAGTCTATTTTATAAAAAACATTAATTATCTTCTAATCTTTAAGGTTGGAAATATGCTATGATAAAGGATGTGACCATTCATAAAATGATACCACAGTCACCCTCCGGAGGGTTGTCCTCTTTTTCTACGTTATCCTCGTTAAGACAAACCTCATCCACAGCCGCCAATGAAAGAGACTCAACTGATAGCAACGTTAACAGGTTTTTTACAAACGCTTTGAATATAAGAAAACCCGCGCCTTCGAGGTTCAGCAAAACCACTGATGACAGCAATAATCGGACAATTCGTCAAAAGCGTCAAATACCAGACGCGGCTTTTCTCGTGTTAAGCGATGGCTGCCGTAATCCAGTTTATCGGTCGATAGCATCGACACATCCGGTTCAAGAGTCAAACGACAATTTGGTCGTCAGTTTCAACTTCAAGGCATTCATGTTTCAAGATATGGATGAAAGTGGAACCATTCGGATCACTGCCAAAGTGATAGCCTGTGTCGAGGAGGAAGACTGTCAACCAGTATTTATATATAATACTCAGTTAATCGTTAATAAGTTAAAAATGACTGATTATTGTTAATTTAGATGAGATGTATAGATGACGACCAAATTGGTTACGGACGACGACGAAGACGACGCAAACGATCACTTAATATGACAACAACTGACAATATCTTAGAGTCAATCGACAACAATAACAGTTCGCAGACCAGCGACTACTCCAAAGAATTACAATTAAAAATAGTTATGCCATCAGTAAAAACAGGTAATTATTTTTTTAGTCAAAACTTTAATTATATTAATTTAATATAACTTAAACAGAGTTATAATATTATATATATCTGTTAAATGCAAATTTATGTTATATTCATATAAACTATTGTATTATATTTATTATTAAAAATGTTATTTTATGAAATTTTTTATATCGAAATGTATGATATATTTATTAAATTTTGATAAAACAATCAAATAGTTTCTAATGATATTATTATTTGTTTGTCATAAGCTGTGGTCAATTCTGATGTCCAATCGGTGCTCAATGAATGGTTTGGTCAGACCGACGGTCGCCAGGATTGTCGTTATGTCGTCTACTTTATGGGAACACTGGCACTGGTATTCTGTTTGACCATAACTATGGCCTCGTCGGTAGTGATTATAAAATCAAAACAAACAAAATATTGATTGAGTGGAAAAAAATGTCACATAAATTAATATAAAATATTTTATTTATTTATTTATCCAAATAATAATCAATTATTATTAGTATGACAACAAAATAATTATTTATTTTAAAAAATGTTATATAATTGTGCATTTAATAAAAAATAATGTTATATTTGCTTACACTGTATGAAACTTTAATCAGTATTTATGATTTTACAATAATTAATTATTACATGAAACATATTTTAATAAGTGATTTGTTTTTAAAAGCAACAAAATCAAAATTGCAGTTATGGTTATGAATATAAACATTTTTTAAAAAGATAATTAATGTGCAAACAGTTATGTTATTATTATTTTTCAAAACCTGACCTCATCGGCATCCTTATAGCGCGGTTCGTTGGCCACAAAAAAGTCGTCAAAATAATTATATAAATATTCAAATGTAGGTCTCTTATCAGGGTCTCGATGCCAACACTCCAACATAATCTGATATATAGTATTAGGACAGTCACCATGCGTGGGTTGGGGCATCCTATAGCCCCTGTCGACTTGCTCTAACACATCCTTGTGAGTCATCCCTTAATAAAACAATAAACAATAAATAACAAATAATTGCAATTAAATTATTGACATTTACAAATAACATAATCCATTATATATGTATAAATTATTACATATCAATATACATAATAAATCTCAAATGTATTTATTATAGAAATGTCTAAAAAATAAACATTAAGTATTGTGATTAAGCACCTGGATATGGTATGCCTCCTTTGGTCATCAGTTCGTAGAGCAATATGCCGAACGACCAGACATCGGACTTACTCGTAAACCTTCCCTTATTGGCCGCTTCGGGTGACGTCCATTTAATTGGAAATTTTGCGCCTATTGTTGCAATATATTCGTCCTCATCAATAATTCGGGCCAAACCAAAGTCGGCCACTTTTACTTCTTTGTTTTTACCGACCTTTTTTTGATTATCCATTAATAAAAATTAATAAAATACCACTTTTTTGTATAACAACAAAATAAATCAATTACCAAAACATTTCTGGCGGCCAAATCTCTGTGAATTACTTTAATGCTCTCTAGATATGCCATTCCCGATGCTATCTGTGCCGCCATATCTATCAGATCGATGACAGTACATGACTCGCCTTCAGAACTATTACGAAGATAGTCGAGTAGTGATCCGTTGCACATGTATTCAGTGATGATAAGCAACGGCTGTTCCAGTGAACAGACGCCGTAAAGAGGAACCAGTTTGTCGTGTCTGTACTTTCGCATAATAGTCGCCTCCTGTAGAAAAGCTTTGGGAGACATAGAACCCGGTTTCAGTGTTTTGATGGCCACCTCTGTCTCGCCCCGGAATAGTCCGTAGTATACTTTGCCAAAATTTCCGGCTCCCAACTCACGGATCAATTGCAGATCTCTTCTATATATCTCTTGATGACAGTTAAGACCGGGACCTTTGGGTCCTTTTGGAGGCGACTTATCTAAACGACAGCACAGGCCGTTAGATGACTGTGAATAGTGGGCCACCAGATCCTGTAGTTTGATAAATGAGCGCCGAGAGGTTATATAGTATTGTCCATCCATTTTCTCTTTGATCTTATAATGTTTGACGTGATCCAGTTTCATGGCATCAAAGTCACGTATGGATAGTGAAAAAGCCCCTTTAGGGTCATATAGAGTATTGTTTATCTATAATAATATTATTTTATAAATATAATACCTGATCCCTGTTCACTGTTTCTGATGAGGAATGTGCCCCTCGGATAGTCGTCCAATAAAAGTAGTTTTTCCGCCTCTCGTCGCGATGTTTTCGGAAAAAACCAACTTTTATTTGAAAAATAAATACAAATATATATATATATATATATTATTTTTTCAGATTATAATCTGAATCTTAATTGTTTTAATATATATATACTCTTCGGTTTCGATGATATTTTCGACGACAAAATTCATGGGTATATAACCGCTGTGTTCACTGGTCATCCTCTTTGCGAGCCACCAGTCCGGTTCCTTATCGTTAAGGATTATCAGTTTTTCGCCCTTTTCAAAGCTCAACTCTCCCTCATCCCGGCCCTCATACGAGTACAATGCGATCACTATTTTGCGTTTTTTGGCGTTTGAAATGGTAGTTACGTAGGGCTTGGATAGCGATGAGGACCGCGAATTTGAGCCATTTTTGTTGCCATAATTACACTGAGCGTAGTCTCCATTTGCCGATTCACAGGGAACGGGTGGTAAGCCTCGAATTGGTCGCTTCGAGTTTGTATGAATACAGTTACCCATTGTGTCAACACAAACACATTATTATTATTAAATTTATATTTATATATATATATATATAGATAATTTTCAAGTTATCAATATATTCGACTATTTTATAATATTATATTTAAAAAAACAATAATAATCATTATTAATATTATTTTTTTTTGTTATCATATATAGAAATTACACTAAAATAAAAATTTGGTTATTTTTATTATAAATTCTTTTTTTTGTGAAAATTATTTTATTTCGATAATTTCATTAAATATCCAATTTTAACAATAATAAATAAAATATATTTTTTATTTTCATTCATAATCAATTTGTTATTTGTGTTATAAAATAACAACTTTAGAGTCGCGGATGCTCAACAAATAAATAATTAAATATATCAATATATAGAGTCTATAAAAAAATAGTTTTTAATTTTATAATATTATATATATATATGGGAAGCACTGTTTCCTTTCAAAGTCAAACAATTAATGTGAAAACCAAACGACTGATCCGACAATTTGTTTTGATAGTCAATCAAAAATGTATGTATAGATATGATTAGACAATATTACAGTATATTACAGTATTATACTGTACAGTAATAATAATAAATACAATAATAATAAATCATCCGTCAAAAAAACATTTCTTACTATAATATTTGATATAATATTGTATTAGTAAAAATAAAAATAAAAAATTAGTTTAATTATTTTGTGCATAAATTGCGAAATCAATTAATATTTTAAATTAAAATAATTTAAAATATTATTTGATATTTAGTTTATTTCTTAAATATCACATATTTAAAATAATATAAATACATTTATTATTATTTATTATATTAAAATTAACTTATTATACATATATTTGAATTAAAATATTCAATATTTATAATTGTTACTTAATAATTCATAATTAATTGCTATTTGTAGATAATAATATTAAAAAATATTTTACACTATATTTTTCAATATATAAATATATTTATGATATTTTTAAAATTTGCAAATATTAAGTCTTGTTTTCAGACAATAGTATCGTCACCCCAGCCGTGATCAACGTCATCGACAGTTAGATTCCGATTAGTGTCCACATCGGGTGCAGGAATTGTGTTAACAGTGGTCACATACACCGAGTTGGTCAGCGCCGAAGCAAACGAGTTGTCGCTCATTTGTTGTTGTTGTTGAGGTGGCTCTTCATAATCTTCATAGGTATCATCAGTGGACTGCATCTGAACCTGTTCCACCTCTTCGCTGTCCACACTATCACCAAACTGACCAAATGAAAAGCAGATCAATGATAATAAAATAAACAATTTTAAGTTAATATACATTATTAGAACAAATAACTAAATGAAATAAAACTTTTAATTGAATAAAAATGATTTTGTCTTATCTAAGATTTTATAAAAATTAAATTAGATTTGATTTTTTTTTAATTTTTCATTTATATAGTCAACATAGTTTAATATTATATTATTTGTTGATTGTACTAAAAATTAAAAGTTTACACTTTAATGCTTTAATAATTTGTGATTAATATTAGTAGTATTTTATGTTATTAGTAATAAATTAATAAAATAACATTTTAATAGCACTACATTATCTTAAATAAAATTTTTAATAAAATATTATTAAATAAATAACATTATTTTTTGAAGTGAAAAAGGAAATTAAGTTTTATTTAATTATTAGCAAACTTTTATATAACAACATAACTTTAAATGGGATTTACTATTTCAACTAGACTTTGAGTGACCACAAAAAAGTTGACATATTTAATGGTTTTTTTTTATTAAATAATTGTTATAATAAATAGCAATTATTTAATAGTTAATTAATGAATAAATTTATCAATTGTTGTAAATTACGAGATAAATTGTTGTCGAGTTTTACTTTTAATTAAAATTTACTTTTTTTGAAAAAAATGTTTGAAATTCAAATGCGTTAAAACATAAAAACGATTAAAAAATGTGGAATTGGTTTTCTGGAAGAACTGGAAGTCAGAATAGGAGAGCTATTCCACCGCAGAGGACAACAACAAAAACGGGACAATTTCCTAGCAATGGAAAGAATAGAAGATTAAAGACAAGACGAGAAATGGAACAATTGAAAGGACAACTTCCTGAAGACTTTCGCAACATATCTGAGGGAACGTTCGCCGAAATGTCCAAAATTACTAACGACTTGTATTTGACAGGAATTTTTGGACTAACAAAAGAAAACTTTGAACAAAACAATATAACAAATGTAATTAATGCCACTTACGAGGCGCCAGACATTGTTATTAAAGGTATTTCTTACATACGAGTGCTCGTCGACGACGATCCCGAAGAGGACATCACACCGTATTTTGATTACATAGCCGATAATATCGAGTCAATGGCCCGCAGACATCGCCACACATGCATACACTGTGTGGCCGGTGTGTCCCGATCGGCGGCACTGGCCATAGCCTATCTGATAAAATATAAGAATATGACACTAAAAGCTGCTTTTAATCATATAATCCGTCGCCGACAGTGTGTTAAACCGATTACCGGTTTTATTCAACAGCTCATGGATTATGAGCTGAAAATTCGCGGCTCAAACTCGTGTCAACTGATTGTTTATAAGACACGTGAGGGCGACGTTCAGGTGACTGTCCCTGACTTCTGGATCAGAGAACATCCGTTGATTATGAATCTGGAGATCGAAACCGAAAGGAAACGAAATCGAGAGGAAGGACTTAACGCAGCCTCGAGTTTCAGTCACGTGTCGACCAAAAGGTCTAAATACGGCGATATCTCACAAATTCATTGATTAGTTTTTTATTTAAATATCATTTATGATTATAGTCTCTCGTTTTATATATAGATTATAAAACTGATGATAAAATTAATGTTTAAAAAGTAATATTTATTTATTCTTAAATTATTGAGAAATATTGTAATTTAGTTAACAAATTCAAAATTCTATACAATATTTTAACTTTAATATAATGATATAAATATATTACAGTATAATATAAAATAATTTTTTGTTTTTGCTCTATACTTAAAAATTAATTTTATAAGTATTTGTTTGCTATATAAGTTATAAATAAATTAATATTTTTAAAAAATAATCTTATAAAATATTTTAAGTGTTCAATAATTTTTAACAAAATTAATTTTTACAATAAATATTATGTGTACTTTTGGATATAAACTTTTTTTTTATATCATACCTTTTTTAGACCTTTATAAGTACTAAAGTTTAAAATTTTTATATCTTAAAAAAACAATTTCAAAATATTTTGTACTATTTTATAAATTTTGAGTAAATTATATATATATACTGGTATTTACTATACGACTATTGTAGTGACAAATAAAAATGTATTACTTGATAGGCTTAAACTAAACTAACATATTATATATCAAAATAATATCAGGTATTAATAAAAATAAATGAAAATGTTTGAAAAATAAATAAAATATAACGACAATTGTAAATAAGATTTTTTTACAATAAAAAATATAATAATAATAACTCATTTGAGTATTACTATACATAAATAGCAGCCTATTTGGTCAAACAATTGATTATATTTAACTTATACAATATAGCAACAACAAAAAATAACTAAAATTAAATATGTACTTTAAATATAACATATTTAAGAAGTTAACATAATATTTAAAAATAAATTACAAATAATATTATTAATAATCATAATTATTATATAAAAAATATTAAACTTAACAAAAATGAAAAATAATGTGAAAAAGTAATATCAATAATAATTTTTTTATAAAAATAAAATACCGGTCTCAGGATTAACTCATTTTGAATATTAATTTGTTGTATTGTTGGGAACAGTTAGCCACCAATCAAATACCTGACGCCGATTAGCCAATCTTGGAGCTGGTCTGCGGATTCAATTGTATCATCATTACGCTGAATGTGGCCAAAGTACAGATGAACGACAAGAAGAACTGGCTGTCGAGTGTGACCACATTGTTGAGCGTCGGTCTCATCCGCGGATAATACGACGGAGTTATTATCAATCGTCTGATCCGTTCATTATCGCGACACAACTCCTTCATATTCAGCTTCAACTTCTTGGACTCGAGCGACACACGCGACGCATAGTGTGACACAATAAAGTGTGGTAACCATAGGATGATCATCGAAACAAACTCGATGAGTGACCAAACCTGGAACCACTCGGAACCGGCACTCCAGGCCAGGAAAAAGATGTCAATACAGGAAACAACAAACAGTGTTGAAAACCAGACAAAGTTTATGGGACCGAAACAGTGCTCGATCTCAATGTGCATCTTATACACCAAATTGAACTGTCTTTTGAATAACTCGATGTCGAATCCATTGTCCCGATCACTAGTAATTTGGTCCTCTAATTGTTCGTTCATTTGTCCGACACATTTGGACAACAGTATCGATAGTAGACAGTAGGCGCACATCACCGCAAACCGCGAACCATAAGTGTACATTCGGTACACAAACGAGTCCAGTGTTGCAATCAAATGTACTAATACTTCGGGCAATCGATCGCCTGTACAGTTGACCACTAGTAACCATTTGCGGTACTGGTCTATGGACAGTGTGGACAACCAAAACTGTGAGGCCGCCCAATGAATGAATGCCACACTAATCATGAATATCGTCCACTTGAAGGCCAACTTCTTGAGTGTTTTTGTGTGATCTGTTTGGACAAAGCTATTGATGATCATATATGTCATCTCTGAGCGCCGTTTTCGATGAATAAACCAGAGATCGACGGCAAAAGCCATCGTCAGTTTGAGTACCAGAGACCTGATATCGTTGAGCAGATCATAGAAGCGTTTGCTCGAAAGGCCCTTAACTGTGGTCACGATGTGAATCATTGTCTGCAAATTGATGAAACAGATGGCTATATAAAGCAAAAATCTTGTGATAGAATTGCGCCAAAAGAAACGTTTTCCAGAGTTTTCCTGATATCGATTGAAGCAAAGGTCGAAACCAAAGAAACGAAGTGACAGTAGAAATGGATCGATGTCTTCGGCCGAACCCGAAAGGAAACGATCGATTGTGGCCACAGACTTCTTCGGTGGGTAAGAGTTGAGAGGAATGCTAACCATTGTCTCCAACTTAAGGACTATTTAATTATTAGTTAAGAAAAAATGATTTAAAAAAATAATTTAAGTGTTAATTGCGGTAATATTTTTATTCAAACATTTTCTTTTGCTTACATTCAAGTCGTGCAAACTTTTTTTACGTCCAATGATTTAATGAATAATACAAATAATAAGTGAAAAAATAAATTATATATCATTAGATAATCGATTTTACAATTTAAAAAATATAACATTTTATAATAATAGTAATAATATGTTTTACATAAAATATTAAAATTTATTTTTTATGCTTTCAATAAATAATACAATACCGGAATGTCTATTGATATTAGTTTAAGCATTAGAATAGTATATAAATTTATTTAAATAATTAAATAAATATATAACACTTGTGCTAACACATAGGGCTTAATTTATTATTAAAAATATATGTAAAAAACTTAATAATACTGTAAATACATTTAAATGTATTGTTATTAATTTAATTTATTATTATTTGTAATATATAATATATTACCAGTAAATAATATTTTATCATTGTTAACGATAAATTATTTTATATACTATTAGTATTAGTAGTATTAAACAATTTATTTTTATCAATAGAATAATATAGAGATTATGTTTTTTCACTAAATATCAAATATAATTATTACTAAATAATATTTTATATAATAGTTAGCTGTTTTAGTAGTAAACAACCCAAACAAATAATCATTTATTTTACGATTTCATTAAATATATATTTATTAAAGTATAAGATATAATTGTCATAAACTCTCTGATCACGTCTTTATTAGTCTATAAGATATACACAAAAAAAACTGTTGAACACTACAGATATAACAGTATATAGAGTATAAACCCATTTATTTTAGGCTTTAATTTGTATAAATATTTTTATGTCTCAATTCTGGTGTCTAATTCTGTTAGCACTACTAATACAATATTGTATTATATATAATGCTTACAATACTGTAATATATATATACTATATATGCTTTTTATGTGCTTAACATAAAATCATTCAAATATTTAGTTTTCAGTCACAAAGAAAAATCAATACAAACTATTTGTTGGCCAAACACTTGTACGCAACGGTATTCAGTCAGTTAGTTACACAACAAATCTTTAAACAAAAATCTTAAATAAAAAATCATATTTAGTATTGATTTTAATTATTTTTTGTTTTTGAATAAATGTATTATTAATTTTTGTTTTAAATTTAACACTACTTATAAAATAGCATATAATTAAATAAAAATATTTTCAAGAATATAATAAAAGTATTTTAGGAATTTTTTATATAAAACTTTATTTTTATAAGATGTTTCATGTCTTAAACAATTGTAATTTAATATAATAATAATAATAATAATAATAATAGTCTGAATAATGTCTCTGAATATGACATTTGTTTCAAAATAGTGTTCATTGAATTGAAAACAAAATTATTAAATCATTTATTATTCAATGAATCCGTGAATAAAAAAGCACTGTCTATCGTGTATATATATATATATATATATATATATATATATATATATATATATATATATATATAGATGTTTACTATATAAAAATTAACTTATTTATAAATATTTTATATAAACACACCAACAAACAATTAAATATATATAGTATAGTTTAATAATAATAAATATCAAATAATCAAATGAATAAAATCAAATATTGTTTTTTTTGTCTATTTGTTTGATTGTAATTTTAAGTGTAAGTTTACAAAACAAACTGCACTATAAAAAGTAATTATATTTATTTTTTGTTAAGTTTGCGCAAACAATAAATAGGCAAATTGTTTATTAGATAACAAATAGAGCAAAAAGAAAGATAAATTTATTTAAAACATATAATATAAGATATATTATACATATATAGTAAATATATATAAGGAATATCTATTTATTTACAAATAAGTTATACTAAGAATAAAATAAAATTAATGAAAATGTTTATATGATTATCTAATTTAATAAAAGAAATTACATTTATATTATATAAAATTTGTTTTTTGGAGTAATCTTTTGTCTAGAAATATAGTGACTTATAATTCACTTATTGTTTAATCAAATTGTCGGCAAATAAGTATTTCAATATCAATTCGGTTTAGAAACAAATTTTAAAAATATGAAAAATATGAGACAATTGCTAATAATTATTTCATTAAAGAAATAATAATTTGTCTATAAATGATAAAAATTTAAATGTTTATTAATCCAAATTAAATAAATATATAATTATTTGTTTAATTTGTAAATACCGGTATATATTATTAATAATTATTATTATGAATAAAGATTATATATTAATTCTTTATTTAATTTTATATAATGCATCTTAAATATACTCTATTGATTTAGTTAATCAAATTCATAAAACACTAGAATTGTATTATCTGTATTAAAATTTTTAATTTAAAATACATTAAAATAATACAAGTATTTAAATGATCTGAATATCTTGTATATGAATATAACATTCATATTAAGACATAGTGTTTATTGAATCAAAAAATTGAATTTATTTATTGTTCACTGACTGTCTGAAACAAAACTTTCTTTTATTGAATAAATTATATAATATATATAAAAAAAACTTTGAAAAAGTTTTATTTACTGAAATCTTTACGAGCCTTTTGTGTGTCTGTCTGTAGCATTTTTTTTGCAAATTTTGAAATTCTGACTTCAGATTCAGTTAGAGGACTACTAATAATGTATTGAAAAGTTGCATTAAAATTTTGATATCTCTTCGGGAACATTGAGAAAATGGCGGCCAAAGATAAAAATTCTTAGATAAAATTTCATAAGTATAGATTTGAAACATTGAGCATCAAAAACAAACATAAGAAATATGCATTAAAATTTTGATCTTTTAAGGGAACTTAGATAAAATGGCTGCCAAAGTAAAAAATTTAGGTAAAAATTTTAGCGTTTAAAATTGTATACAGCATGAAAAATAATATATAATAGATAAAACTTATTTTATTTTTTTCAAAAATGGCGGCAAAAGTATGATTTTAGATGTTTATTTTGTTATACCAAATTATTTGATATTCTACATGACTATAGTTGAGTATATTTTGTCATACCGAGTCATTTGATACCCTACATGTCTATAGTTTAGTTTATTTTGTCATACCTAGTCTTTTGACTATATGACTAAAACCAACTGACAATAAATTTGCGAACATAATATTTTTTATGTCAAAGTTTTTTTTCTGATAATGCTTTCTAACATACTTAACTGGTTTTATTTAAAATTAACATAAAAAACAAAATAATAAAAAAATATTACATATTTTTAATTAAATAATATTATGAATTATTTTATACTATAATGTAATTAAAATTTGTAATTACATAATAACGTAAAAAGCAAAGTAATTTATTTATGAAAAGTAATAACAAATAATTCAATAGTTATATTAATTTTTTTATTTATAGTATCATAACTTAACTATAAATATAATATTACAACTAAAGTAGATGTTTGCGGACAATAAAATGATTGATATTATCTTAATTTATCATGATCATTATTAAAATATATAAAACAAATATTTAAAATATTATATAATAATTAAGAGAAATTACTTAATATTTAATCAAAATTCATACAATAGATTGAGTATTTTGAATGAATCTAATGAAATAAAAGTAATTTTATAGTTATTGAAAAATATTAATTAAATTTTTATATAATTAAATTTACCATAAGTTTTTTATTAAATTCAAACGTGATTTTTGATAACCATTTAATAATTTCCGGCTTTTTTTGTTGATATTTATGTAATAGTATAGAGAATATAATAATTATTATTCTTAGGAAATCATTAAATATTTATATAAAAAAAATCATAAATTATTACAATTATATAACAATATAAAGACTAGTATAATAATTTATCATTTAGTTTATATTTTAAATAAATTATCAATAAAAATGTCTAATAATTTCGGTGTCATCGACTATACGGTGTTCATAATAATGCTAATGATATCATCGGTTATTGGGTTTTATTACGCGTGGAAAGACCGCAATAATACTAATGAGGATGAGTTCTTGAGAGGGTATTAATGCAAATAAAACTATATTTGTTTGTTATTTACCCAAACATTTCTTTAGAGGTAAACACATGTCTGTAATACCGGTGTGCCTATCAATTATGGCCAGTTTTTTGCCCAGTACTTCAGTTATTGGTTTTCCAGTTACCGTTTACTTCACGGGCAGTATGTTCTGGTTTGCAGTCATACCGTCCATTTTGGCGGCTGTGTTGGCCTGCGAAGTGTTTCTCCCGGTTTATTATAATATGAATCTAACATCGGTTAATGAATACCTACACAAACGTTTTAAATCACATAAATTACAAATTTTGGGTAATATATCAGCACTTTTATCATTGGTAATATTATTGATAAATATTTTTTAATTTATTTTTCTTATTTCATTAGATATTAATACTTAATTGAATATAAATTTTATTTGTTTAGATACCTTTCTTTGGAGTTGAACTGTAAGATCTCATAAAACAAAAATTTCATTTCATTTAAATTTTATTTAATTAATGCACCGATAGTTTTGCGCCGTCTATTGCACTGTCAATAGTTACAGATATATCTATAAACTCAAGTATTTTGTTGATCGGCCTAATTGTCACATTATATACATCACTCGGTGGTCTCAAAGGTGTCATTTGGACGGATGTCTTCCAGTTTTCTATCATCTTATTTGGTCTATTGGCTATTGCTATCAGAGTTTGTATTATAATATACAGTAATCAATATTTGATAAAAATAAAAATAATAATTTATACGGTAATATCAATTGATTTGTTAATATAAAAGGGCGCCAACATATCGGGAGGAATGGCCAGTGCCTTCCAAAGAGCTCATACCGGCGGTCGCATTGAATTCTGGAAGTAATATATAATTTAAGATACATTTGAAATAATTAATTTTTCTAACATACCAGTGCTTATATTTGTATTATAGCATGGAATTCGACATTTACAGTGTCAACTCATTTTGGGTATACATATTGGGCTTCGCAGTGTTGTGGAGCGGTACGTTCAGCACATCCCAACTACAGGTGCAACGAGCCGTATGTATGCCATCCATGCGATCGGCCAAACGGGCTCTGTACACCGCAATTCCCGGATTTATTTTCATGCTATCGCTTATGGTGATCATCGGTATTGTTATGTATGCCCGATATTACAACTGTGATCCTATGGCTACAGGTCAGGTTACCCGTCCCGATCAATTATTGCCATTTTTCGTGTTAGACATTTTTGGTGACGACTATCCTGGTCTACCAGGAATGTTTGTGGCCTGCATTTTTTGTGGCTCTCTTAGCACTCTATCATCGGGTCTGAACGCATTGGCCTCAATCATTTGGGACGACTATGGCAAACAAGTCTGTTCCCGATGGCTACGTCCAAGTTATGGCATATACGCGACCAAAGTTTTGGCCATTTTAATTGGCATCGCATCCATATGTTTCGCATTCGCTGTTAAAAAGACTGATAATATAGTCGAGGCTGCGGTTATGTTGTATGGCTCATCCAATGGCCCGATATTTGGACTTTTTTGTTTGGGTCTATTCTTCCCGTGGGCTAATGCCTACGGCGGTGCGGCCGCTCTTATTGTCGGCCAAATCATGAGCTTTTGGATCACAATTGGCTACGTTTCTGACAGAAGAAGTCCCCAAACATTGGCGTTAGGAGTGAGTACTGATGGCTGTCCCGAACTTAACAATAGGACTGCACCACTAAGCTATTTAACCAATTATAAGATACCCCAATATTATCCAACAGGTATTAAGAACTAGAAGAATGTTACCATTTTTTTTTATAAAAAAAGACAATTAACACACAATCCATGTGAATATTCATAGGTTTCGATAGACTTCATCACATCAGTCCATTTTTTGTTCCGGTAATCGGCTTTTTAGTCAGTCTCGTAGTCGGTAATGTGGTCAGTTTGGTCACTCTTGGCAACAAAAATCGGGATATAGACAAAAATCTGGTTTGCAATCAAGTTTGCTATTATATGGAAAAATTGTTACCAAAAAGTTGGCGCAAATTGACTGAAGATCAGGTGACGCCACCGAATGAGTACAATGTCGTACAAACCAATATAATTCGGTCATTACATTCGGTTAAAAGGGATAATAACACCGAAGCCGATGATGAAGTACCGCACGACGAGTCAGTCAATAATCAATTTAGAAATTCCGGCGACAAAACTACAAAAATATAATTCTTGTGAACCAAAACATCAACGACAACAACAACTTATAAAATATCAATTGCTATCCAAACACACATATTGTCACTGATCTCATACTAAAAGTCTGTGTCAGACCATAATGTCATCAATAAAACAATTCTTAATTAATAACAACAAAAAATATTGAATAATCTTTATTTTGTCAATTAGTGTCCATTTGTTTGGTTTTGTTGCGACCGGTTATCTGTCTTTCATACGTATAGTTTCCGTGTCCGGCGGCTCTTTCGGCTTCCTCTTGACTGTACGGCTCGTCTTCCAATAGTTTTACTCTTTTCTTATGTGTTTTACTTTTTGTGTGATCCGTAAGCGACTTGTCGTCAATAAAATAGCGACTAAAGGAAAGAGAGAACAAATACAGACAAATAAAAATGTTATCATTAATTGATGTCTTAATTAATAACTAATTTAAATGATTTTATATCTTTTAAACCAAGAGTTGGTTAAAAATGATATCAACAAAAAATGGGTAAACAAATCAATGTCCAAACATACTGGCAATGTTTGCAAAAAAACTGTCCATTTGCTGGTAAATCGTTGTCAATGTCTTCTACATCATTACCACCGATGATGGCATCAGTCTTGACACTAACGTCTTGTATATCGACGGCATTCATGAGTCCGAGTTTGATGGCATCCAAGTCTTTCTTATATCTCTTCGTCTTCAGTCCTCTCTTACCGATCCGTCTGTTGGGAGCATTGTTACCCTTTTTACGTGAATATCGGGTCATAATGTCGGGACAGTCTGTGTATGTGTGTGTCTGACTAACTGATCCCTAATAATGATGACAACTATGTGTTGATTGTGTGATCAAAACTGTTTGTATTGTCAATGATATTACAAACACAAACACACTGTACTGTACTAAACATGTGCTATCATTAGGGTTGCAATAATACAATACAATACATAAAATGTAAAATCAATTATAAATTAATGTATAAATTAATTTTAATTTCTATACATATTATTTCAATATTTAATTCATAGACTTAATAACAATATATATATATATTTAATTGTTATTTTAGATAATAATATTTTGTGAAATAAAATCAATTGATAATTTTTAAAAAAAAAATTAAAATTTATATATAAGTTTGTGTATTTTGACAACACTAATAACAATACTTGTTTGATAGATAACATAGAGTACGTTTAAAATACAACTTAATAAAACTCATTTAATTATTGATAACTATTATTAAATTATATAATTTATAATTAAATATAATTATATCTTATTTTATTTATTTAAATAAATACAACCTTATATCATTATTTTATTAGTATTTTTTTAAAATTAATTTATAATTATTATAATATTGTATATTTACAATTTATTAATTTTCTATATACAAAATACAATGTTAACATTAAATAGTTTTTTTAATAAAATAAAATATTTAATTCAATAAATAACTGAATTTACAAATACTTTTTGGCCAATAATAACAAAAATGTCAAAATTGTCGCCAAATACTGTGATATGAGACCCGATGATCGGATTTGACCGGAAAAAGTGGTCAATTCTGTAATAAACAATAGTGTCATCGACACGGAATATATCACCAATAATAATGGCAATTCATGTAATACTGATAACAGTCCCACAAATGCTAAACAACAGTGAATTAATAGCAAAACCAGAAGCGATGTCCTGATCTTTGAGCACTTGTCTAACATTAGTACCGTTTGTCGACGCACTGGACTACTGTACCGATGATGATAGATATCGTCAACAATGTTGCGATTAATGGCCGTCCAGATGGCCATCACGTGTGTTACCAATGAAACACCGATTGTGGCAATCAGTGTCACCGTTAATGTCAAAAGCATAGACTCGCTATCATATAGTGTTTCCATTGAGTTGTTATAAACTTTTGAAATGTATTTTTAGTGCCAATTCTTGGCATAACTTTTTTTTGTTATATTTATATATAACTTATAGTTTAATACATCGTATAATTAAATTTTATTTTACACTCATTTTACACTCAGTGTAAATTTTGGTAGCAATAATAGTAAATGCAATGATTAGAGCAAAATAATCATTAACTAAATAACAGTAAAAATAGTTTATCAAATTATTAACAACTGATTGTAAATTTATATTAACCAAACTTTAATATTAATAACTTGAAAACATTGTAGTATTTTTGTTTAATTACTTTATAAAATATCCAAATGTTATACACGTTTTGTTTTAGATAAAATAAATGTTTTTCAAAAAACAAAAAAAAAATAAGTTTCAATACTTTATTTAATAACAACCAGTATGTACTGTATGTACTAAACTAATGATTAATAATCAAATAATCAATAATTTGAAATAACGTTAGTTTTAATATATTAATTAAATGATTCATATAAAGTACAGTATATTCAATGCAATATAAATACTGTACGATATATATAATTTACATCACAGTAATAGTCATATCCGTCTAAAAATATGGGTATAAATTTTATACTTAACAATACAATATAAAGTTTATACAGTATTATAAACTTATATAATGAATGCATTATTAAATTTAATGTAGTAAAATAAAGATGTATTTTATTAAATTATCATATTTATATAGAAAACTGATTTGCAAATTATAATTGACTAAATGTATTATTATTTTTTTCAGTTATGGTTACAACATTTACTCAATGATTTTAAATTGAGATTTGTTTGAAAATAAAATAAAAATTGAATTAAGGCATTATATTTTTATTTAATTTTTTTGTTGGTTCAAATCATTTAATTATGTTTTATAATATTTATATATGTTTTTTAATAAATAGCATTAAAAAACTGGGCATAGCCCACGCATTTGATGATTGTTTTTATAATAATTTTTATTGTTTTAAAATAATAATAATTTAGTTTAGTTTAGTTTAGTTCCCTAAATTAAAAAAATAACTATTTTTCTTTGTAGATCAAATTATTAAAATATTTGTCTAATATATAAAGCACTTAATAAAAAACAATATAACTTCAAATCAATAATACTGTATATTTTGAATGTTAAATAAATAATAAAAACTACTTGAAATATTTATATAAATTTTATATATAATGCAAACTAATATGTTTGACCATAATTATTAAACTTGATTATTAACAGCAATGTTTCTAAATTTTTATTTGTAGTTTTTAAACTTGAAATTTAAGTAATTTATGTGTTGGTGTGTTTTATTACTGATAAAAAAAATTAACTCATAAGTGGTTGACATTCAAATAGTATTAATTTTTACGATACTCTTTATATTACTGTATATACCGGTATAATATACTGTATAACTATAGCTATATTGATATTTACTATTAACACTCTTATCATTGACAAACAGAGAGGAGGAATATATTTATAATGTATATAATTTGCAAATTAAATGTTTTATTTTGTTTTTTTTTTAATAAAATCCTATTATGGTTTGCAAAATTTATTGCAAACCCATATTTAGATTTATAAAAAAAAACAGTAAAAAAAACTTTGTGTTTTTTCAAAATGTGATCTAAACATAGCATAAACCATAAAAAAAAGTTGTCTACAAAAATATATTTTATATAGCATTTGAAGTTCACAAACACAACTATAACACAGCAAATAGCAAAAAATATTACTGTAATATAGCAATGATTTCATTTTTTATCAGCACTTGTAGTTCAAAGTACTCTTTCCTATGAAAAAATTATATGAATTTATTTATGTTTTGAAGATATAAATTATATATATATATATATATATATATATATATATATATATATATATATATACCATGTATTGTATTTAATATTATGTTAGTTTATCTCAATCACATATTGACTTCCATATAATTATATGAATTGTGTGCCATTTCCTACAATCAATACAATTATTTAGTGTTTTTTAATAATAATAAAAACTATTGAATTCAGTATATTGTTTATATGAATATATATTTTTATAAAATATGTTTTACTTATATTGAAATGATAAAAGATATTAGTTATTTATTTAAATAATTTCTAGTAATATTTTAGTTTATTAAAAATGTGTGATAAATATATATTGCATTCAAAACCTGAACTTAATATCAAAGAATATAAAAATTGTTATAAATATTTATCTGAATACCTGATTATTCATAAAGATATTGATTTAATTGTAAGTTTTAAAAAATATAAATATTTAACTATTAAATAATATATTCTAAATAATATCTAAAATTATATTTTAATTTAGACTTAAACTAAAAATATTTTAATAAATATTTGTATTTTTTCTTAATTTTTTTTATAACTTTCATTAATAATTTTTAAATCTAAATTTACAGATAGACTATACAAATGATAAATTATTTAGTGGACAAAAGATACTTGATTTAACTAATTTAATATCAAATTCATTAGTTAATAAATATAATTTAAAAATTGGTGATACCGTATGTTTTATATCATCTAATGATTATCTTAAGTCAATTGCATTTATATCACTATTAAATATCGGAGCCATCAGTATATTTCTAGACGAAAGGATAACATATGGTAAGTGACTATAAATTACATATAAATAATATAAATAATATTTATTTCCTAATATTATATTAGATAAGTTGGATAATGTACTTAATAAAACCAAATTTAAATATATATTTTGCGGAAATGCCAGCAAAATAATTGTTGATAAGTTGGTGAATAACTATTCAGAAATTACTGTAAGTTTTATCTATGAATTTATTTTTTGAAATACAATCTTAGAGTAGATCTTTAAAAATGTTATTTTAATTAACAAATTTCTAATAATATTAATAATTGTTTATTAATAGAAAGTATTCATTGAATGCAATGATGACTATGAATTGGACAATAAGTTTATTAATGTTACTCAACTATTTAGTGATGATATCAAATGTGAAAACAATTTTGATGTCAACCAATCGGATATAGCGGTGATTGAGTGGACCGGAGGTACAAATGATGGCACACCGAAACCAGTGGCCAAAACGCACGGCAATCTTATCAATGGATTACAGCAAATGTTAAGCGACAATGTCTTGAGCAACAACAGCGATGACATTATAATATCGATGCCATTTGACCACTTGTTTGGCATATATTTTCATTTAATATCACTTATCAGTGGATCCAAAACGGTGTTAATCAGAGAAACGTTTGCTACAAATACTTATATATATTTGCAATGTATTGAAAATTTGAATGTAACAAAACTGATACTGTTTTCATCGGACATCAATTTGATGGTCAAAAATGAAGTGAATCTCATGTATAATGTCAGTAGTGTTAAAGAGATAATATATATCGGTGTTTTTGATGATAACAATATTATCCGTCAAAGTGTGGACAGTATGTTTAAGTGCCGATATTTTAGATCAGGTATTTTTTATTACAATTATTATTTTTTGAAAAAATATATTTATTAATTAAAAATATTTATAATAATAATATAGTTTACGGAACCACTGAATCAGGAGTCATAGCATGTCTGCAAAAAAGTAAATGCTATGAACGGAACAATTATTCGACGGGACAGTTGATATCGGGAACAGTACTACAGGTGCTTGACTTGAAAACTGGTGAATCGCTGCCAGCTTACAGTGTGGGCGAGATTTGCGTAAAAAGTGGACAATTGGGTCACTCTTACGGCACTGATAACAGCGACAGATTTACTAATGATGGCTATTTAAGATCCAACGACGCCGGCTATTATGATAATGAAGGCAATGTCTACATTGAATGCAAGATATCTGATATTATATATGTTGACAATCAGATGCTGATACCAAACGATCTTAAAATCCTATTGTTATCGCATCCCAATGTCATCGATGTCTCGGTTATCGGTATTTATTGCAATTATAGTGACTCTGAGTCCGACTCTGACACTAATGAAACAAATAATATAATTTATAAACAATTAAATAATACGTTTAAGATATTTGTTGTATTGCGCGCCGGTAGTAACGAAACTGATCTCGACTTAATCAACTTTATTAACGATAAGGTAGAACCCATCAAACAGGTTGACTTCAATTTGTATGTCATGGATATATTGCCTCGAAATAGTTTGGGTGATATTCAAAGAGGTTCACTAATAAAATATTAAAATAAATTGGTTTTATTTAATAATTGTAAACTTTTTTATATACTTAAAAAACTCTATATGTAACTAATTTTTTAATTTTTTTAAATATATCTATTTTAAATAAACAATTTGTAAATTATAATTTACAATATATTCAAATAACAATATACTTATTGATAGTAAGTGTCGAAAACAATGTCTTATATTTAAACCACAAAAACCTGAAGAACAAAGTGAAAGACTGTTTCCAATGGATATCCAACACAAATGCTCACAAAAAATGCAAAAATAAATAATTTATTTATTTATTTATTATTATTTATCACAATTTTGACAGAATTATTATTCATTGTTATGAATAAATAAACAGTTATTAAATTTTAATGATTTAAAGAAAAATTATTTATAAATTATTGACAATTATATAACTTTTTAAGACTACTAGCGTCTGAATCAGTCATCTTTGTCTTATCGTACGGTTCTTTAAGCTTAAAGTGCTTATCCTTGGGAACCATAGTCATGTGTCCGTCCTTTGAGAAAGCAGTGGACGAGTAGATCATAATAGAGTTGTAATCAAATTTTGCAAACAACCGGTTCATCGACGAAGGATTCTTCTCAAAGTTATTGTTCATTCCTGGCATCACATGATTCAAATGGATAGTCAAAAATGAGTCCCGATCTGAGCGCATGTGTTCGTGATAGAAGCCAAGCGCGTGTAGTAACTCGTGTACGACTGTCCCTCGATATAGACATCCTCTGCCTAATGATACGTCTTGTGAACCACCGATTCGACCCACATATGAATAACATCTAAAATATGTTAAATTTAATAACAATTAATTCAAATATATATATATATATATATATATATAAATCAATTGATACCCATTGGCTTTGATTATATTAATAAAATCTCTTTCATTGTTTCGTTTCTTAAAGTGAATACACGACACATCTTCAATGTCTTTCATTGCCGACTCTATGAATGCAATCTCTTTTTCTGTAAAAAAAATTCAATTAATAATTTGTTATTAATTATTATTATTATTATTATGTTTTGTCTGACCCGAAAAGGTATTGGCAAACTTATAGTGGATGACACCATTGGGCCACTGTTTATGTTTAGATGACGATGCCTTTCTCATTGCACCCTAATTTCAAATTATAAAACTTATTTTTCTTTTCAAAAAATATAATTGAAAATAAATGATAATTGAAATTGAATTCATAGAAACCTTTTGTTTGGGCACAAGACCTAACATATCTCCTCCATATCGCTCCCGGTTCTCAATAAGACGTTTATTGGGATGAATGTCATCCGATTCTAAACTATCTTCACCTGAAAAACAAATGAAACTATAAATTGTGAAAAAAATGTATGAAATTTATTTCACTTTTTTTAAAAATACCGTTCAATAATTTTAGATAAATGAACATAAAATTTATCAAATTAAATAAAAGATAATTAAATATCATTTTTTCACATATTTAAAATAATTAAAATTATAATACCGAAATAAAAAATATAATAAAATGTTTAAATAATAAATTTTTAACTATTTATGTTTTTTGTATCATTTTTTATTAAAATAAAACAAATGATTAAACACAGCTATTGTTAATTAATTGTTAGTTCATTAAAAATAATCTATTGTTTATTTTGAAATATAGTATATTGCGAAAAACTTTAGTTTTACAAATCAAATCACATGAATAAAATGATTTTCAAACATTAGAAAAACATATTTTCAATAAATAAATAATTAATTTTTTGATTAAAATAACACAATTAGTTATCAATATTAGCGTAAAGTAATGATATAAAAACTACTGTACTATTTTGTACCGTAGTATGCATACAGTATTTTGTTAATAATTATCGTAATAAAATAAAAATAATTAAATATAAAGAAAATTAAATATATTAAATAAGTTGAAAGTACTGTAAATGATATTATGAATTGACAATAACAGGTAATATAAATTAAATCAGAATAAAATCAATAAAAATAATATAATTGAAAAATAGCAATATTAATGATGTTAATGATGTTAATGATGTAATTGATAATAATAATAATAAAACCAAATTAAACCTATATATCATATATATATATATATATATATAAGTGTTGAAACCAAATCTCTTTCTGCTGCTGTGATCTCTTCGCGTAATCCATCTATTGATTCATCAGATTCTTCAATAAATTTTTTGATCAAATCCATAGTAATTGATCCAATATGACTAATCTTTTATCAGCAAAAAAAAATAAAACTAATAAAATATAATAAAATCAAAGCAACAATATTAGACAAAATTATGGTAAAAGTAAAAAGAAAATATGTTTAACTCTATTTCTGAATCGTATCTCAAAAGCGTTATTCTGTTAAATGAAAACATTTTTAAACAATTTATTAGCAAATACTACTAAAAATAGTTTTTCGAAAAAACACATCAAATTCAGAATATTTGACTTTTTAAAAAAAAATCAATTGATTTAAGTCAATGAAAGTGAACTTTTCGGACATTTTCTGAGTGTTTAACTTCTTTTTAAATTTCTTTTTATAATATCTGATTCAATACATTTGTAATTTCGACAAACGCCATAAGTAACCGCTGTTTATGGCTTTCATTGATAAGTTGTCCGATAAGTTCAGATAAGATAAGTTTATTGGCCGCCAATCCCTTGAACTCATCGCTTAAGACAAACTGAATGGCATTCAATTGATTACTTTTACCGCAACTGTTACAACAAATTACCGAAATGACCGAAAACCGGATAATTAAACTATACTTATGTCGCGTGTATTATATGCTATTATATTACAAAATTCACAAATGTTTTAACGAAACCAAATGAGATAATGTCTCGCATCTTATATCTCGAGTCATATATTTGTTAAAACAATCAAATATCTAATTATTTGCTATATTGTAATCAAATTTAATTTTTTATGATTAGTGAACCTATAATTCAAAATACTTTATTTTTAAAAAAACAAATGACATCAATAGTGAAGATGAAACAGCCGTACAAAGTATTGATTGACATCTGGGGTGTCATTACTTCGTGGACTTTTCGAACTGATCTTAAAACTTATATCAAAGAAAATTTGAAGAATTTCTTGAGCCAACACTGGACACAACAACTGATCAGTGATTTTGTTCATCGCTTACGAGATATGAACGCTAAAGACAGAGAAATTCATTCAGATTTACCACAGATTGAGGAGTCGACCGATGATAATAAGGACACTGTTATTGAATCGGTTGTTAAAAATATTGAGTGGAGAAAAAAACATAAACTCAATACATTTGACAACGATATCCAAGAACTGTATCAAACCATATGGTTGGACGGCTATCGCAATAAACGGCTCAAAGTTCACACTTTTGTTGACGTTATGCCATCGTTTCAGAGATGGACTGACGAAGAATTGACAATAAAGATCTATACGTTCGCTTCCGGTCCGTCACAAAATCAAAAACTATTTCTTAATCACACCACTTGTGGTGATGTTAGTTGGTATGTCGTCGGCGGCATCAATAGCTATCATAAATACAAACACGACTCCAATCGGTTTAAACAAGTTTTCATTGCCCTTCAAGAAAGTCCACAAAATATTCTGTATATAACCGACAGTCCGAACAAAGCCCGGGCGGCTATTGCTTCGGGAATGAGAGCTATAGTTGTTTTAAGAGACGGGAATAAGAGATATTCAGACCAAGAACTCGATGGCATACAAACAGTCACTTCATTACAAGAGTTAGATTTTATACCCGACTATAATCCTAATTGTTGTTAGATTTTTAAAAACTTTTCAAATTCTTTAGACTAAATTACAGTATTTTATTAAAATGATAAATCTATTTGCAATTAATTTAGTATTAATTTCTTAATTAATTATACTGTATAATTGTATAGATATACAATAATAATAAATAATTAAATAATGCAATTAAAAAATTGAGTTAATTAGTTTTAATCAAATAATATCATTTTTTCATATAATCTTTATAATAACTATTTTTACTTTGGTTATTAATAATAACAAAAAATATTAGTTTCCAATTGTATACAATATAATAGTTTTTATTAATTAATTATTATTCTAGAAAATAAATTAAATTAGCTATTTTATTATAAAAAAAATTACATATTAAATATGTTATTACAACAAAGTATTTACAATTTAATCAACTTTTGCCATAATAATAATAATAATAATTATAAATTATTTAGCGAGATTATGAACAATTAAATTAAGTAACAAATAAAATTCATTATTATATTTGAATTTGAAATTATTTACTAAATTAACACAAAGCAAAACAAAAACAGTTTTGTGTAAAATAAATAGTAATTTATTTTTTTGTTAAACCTTTTACATACAGAATAGTTTGTATTGAAATCTAAATTATATTTTGAAAACAATGGCTAAAACTTATTGTTTGCGAAAACGTTGGAAAAATAATGTATTTTTTGACAACGATTTTCACCAGTCTTTCAGGACATTTGTTTTGCAAACTTCGGCACCAATTGCTTATCAAAATGATAAAAATGATGTCAAAAACAAATCACAAAAATTATCACAAAACAAATGTAAGAAAAAATCAAATAAAATGACGAAACAAATGAATAAATTACAGAAAAATAAAACAAAACATAAGTCAAACTCAAAACTAAAGAAAACCAAAAATGTTGCCAAAAATGTCAATAAAATAAAGTCACGAGTCCTGAGAGGACAGGGATGTGGACAACAACCGAAACAAAATAATGTTAAGTCAGATATTACAGTTGAAGTCAATAATGACAATGAAATTGAGGATCAGTTGACTGATTGCGAAGTTATGTCACTCATGGAGGCGATGCCTGATTTCAATGATATCTACGACGATATTAAAGATATATTTGACGTTGTTTTCAACGATATAGAAAATATAGTCATATAAATTATTTTTGTTTTTTTAATAAATTAATAAATTAATTAATTTAATTTTTCTCAAAATTATTTTGTTTTATGATTTAAATTTTAAGTAAACATTATAAATCTTTTTAAATGATATATGACAATTTACTCATTATCTTAAACTTAAAATAAAAAAATTACTTTTTTCTAGAGTGGTTTTATTTATTTACTACATTTTTTAAAATATGATTATTTTTTATTAAAAATAATTTATTATTACGTTTTATTAATTTTTAAGTAGCAATAACTATTGATATCACTATATGATACAGTAATTTTTGTATAAATAAATGTTAAATTATAAAATGAATAAATAAATTTTTAAAAATTTTATTACAGTAAAAGAAAAAGTAAAGTAAATTAAAATTTTGGATTTAATTAATAAATTATTTTTATTTTTAATTCATAAGATTTAATGATTTATAATTAGTTTTGTTAGTTATAAAAACTAGGCAAATGTAATAAAATACTAACAATACAATATTTAATTAATTTTTATCATTAATTAATCAAATTTTATCAGATTTTGCATTTAATCCTATTATTTACAATGTGTTATAAGTACAGTAAATTTAACACATAATTTAAACTACTTGTCCTCAAATATTAGCAAATGTCATTGCATTGATTATTTAAGTTTTTATTTTAATTAAAATTAATTTGTCACACAAAATGTCTTATTACAACATTAATTACTTTTTAATAGATTACTCTATATATTTTATTATTTTAGTTTTTTATTTATAAATAAATTATTTATTATATTTATATTTATTATTCTAGTATTTTACTGAATTTATTTACGGTATTCAGTTTTATATAAATTATATAAATTATTTGTGTTTAATATGTTTTATTCAAAATTATGTAATAATTGGGACAATTTATTTTTAGATATACTAATTTAAACACCCAATTAATTTATATATAAAAAATATTTTTTGTAGTGAAAACCTTTAATAATTGATTGATATTACAGGTGCTACAAAATAAACATTAACTTGTAATTCAAAGTTATAAACTAAAATGTTTACATACAGTACAAAAAATATATTAGAAGTTATACTGTAAAATACATATAATATTTTTATATTTAAATATAAAAAATATAGTTTGAGAGATTATTTAAAAAGATAATTTAATTTATTATGTTTGTACGATATTTTTAAAAACATTTTGTATTATTTGTGTTAATTTAAAACTAATTTAATGATAAAATCAAAATTAGTGTAAGTTTTTTTGTATATTTAATTAAGATACTGTTATAATCAATATTTATTATATACTTTTAAAGTTTATCAATAAAATATTTAAATATATTTTTGTTATTTTAAGATAATATACTATACTATATACAAATTGTTAAAAGTGAAAATATTAAATTAAATTGTTTATAAACAAAAAAATGATTTATCAGATAAATGATTCACAATATCATCATTTGGAAAATTTTAATGAAATATTATACTAATTGTTTTTATTTTCAGGCAATTCATGTCTAAAATATGTAAATTAATTTTTAATTGCAATTTTTAGTAATATATTTTAGTAAAATTTTTAAACATGCATAAAATAAATACTGGTATTATTATATTCAATATTTATCATTAAAATACTGTGTCCAGTGTTTAAATAAATGTTGTTTATTAAAAATTTATATATTATCTAATTTAAATCTGTTAATAATTTTGCTTTCAAATAGCTATAACATTAAAATTGAAAAATAACATATTTATTGCATATTATTATTATTAGTATTAGTATTATAAACCGCTAACATTTTATGAGACAACTGTGCAAATAATGTTACAGTAAAACAGTTTTTTCACTTCACATTAATTTCACTGTAAAAATCAAGTGATTAAATAAAAAGTGAAAACCACATCAAACATACAAAATTGAAAGTTGATTTGAAAATTAGATAAAAACTTATTTATAATTAAAGAGTGGCGTTTAGTTTTTCAATTTATATACCGTTTTATATATGACTACATAAAATATTTTCGGATAAAACTAGTCATACATGTCGTTATTTGGGGGATTGAAAGAGAGAGAGAGAAAAAAAAGGTTACAAATAAGATATTGAGAGCTAACTGAGCAAAATTTGTGACCGATTTCCTGATCACAGACTCAAACAACACACACAACCAACTGAACCAAACTATGCCTGAAGTGTCACAAACACGTCTACCAACACGAGTCCAGTCTTGGATACAAAAGATTAACTTCAAACTAGTGCTCAAATGGACAACACTGTCGTTACTCATAGGGATTATAGGGAGAGTGGTGTGGAGTTTGGTGGATGAGTTGACGACAGTCAGCAAAATCGAAAAAGAGATCGAAGAGAAAGACAGGGATGAAATTGTTGAATACCAGGTGTCCATCTGGTCTAACCATGTGCTCTACTTTTCCTATATATTGTTAGCCATCTATGCGACCATCAAAGAAAACTACCGGCTATTACTGGCCTTTTCAGTCGTTGATCTCATACTTGACTTCATCTATATCTGGGATTTCGATGGGATTTTAATATTTATGTTAGAAATTAGTGTAACATTTATTTGCTTTATAACAGCCGTTACATTCAAATACCAGCAAAACATACCATGGAATCCATTCTAAGTATTTTAATATTAAATAGTTTTGTATTGTATTTAAATTAAATATAATTATTGTATTATTATATAAATATTAATATAAATATTATAATTTAATTTTTGTATTTGTAATAGATTATTCTAAAAAAATATTAAAAATATAATATTTTTATTTTTTTAAATGTAAATTAGATTAATATAATAATAACGATTTTATCTAAATAAAAATATATGTTAATTATTTTCGACATGAAATTTGCTTATATTTTGTTTAAATATTTTTATCATTATTTATTAATGAATTTTAAATTACACAAAATACTGTATTTTTCTATTAATCATTTAAGGTAAGTAAATATTATATTATATTTAATTGAAAATTGTACGTGTATAAATAATTATTTAAAAATATTAACTTAAATAAATATTTATAACAAAATTGCAACACTTATCATATTTAATATTTATCAATATATAAAGTTTATATAAAAACAAAAATAAGGTTACAGTATTTTGTTTATATTTATTATACCGGTATATATTCAAAAATAATAAATTATGTAATAATTATATATATAACAACTTAAGATAGTTTAAGTACAAAAATGTCTATAAATAGTACAATTTTTTGTACAAAATTGACTGATTGATTATAAATAGTAACAATAAAATGAAAAAATTAATCATTCAATTTTTTTTCAATATAATATATACTGTATTTACATTAATCATTTAGTGAATTGATTTTCTACGAAAGTGTCTAAACTTTATTTTATTACCTAATCATCTAATCAAGGACATTGATATATATTACTATACTGTATGTACTGAAACCAGTTATATAATATTGATAAATTAAAAATATATTAACTAATATATTATAGTACTTATAATTTATATACAGTAGTATATATACTAATTTATATATATACTGTATATGATAATATATTAGTTATAGTATTAATACTGTATTAAAAATATTTTTTTCATTCAAATCTTTCATAATTATAATTATAACTTATTAATACAATTGTGTGTCCAATTCAGTACTTTAGCACTTTTAAGTTTCAAACATTTTTTTATGTTGTTTTGTTTTTATTTGTTTTTATAGTTCAAATAAACATTAACTTAATCATATTGTAAATATTTAAAATGCAATTTAATTTTATTTGTACATTATTTTGTCTATAAAATGTTAATATAATTTATTTATCCTTGAATATTGAAAACAATTTTTAGTAAATTATAATATTACTAAACAATTGATTATTTGGTGATTCATAAGATTTTGTATGTTATAATAACAAATAGTAAAATTACATTTTAGACTGTGATGTATTTCACTCAAAAGTTTTTTAATTTTAATAATATTGCTTTTACTTTATTACATTATAGTTTAAGTATAATAAAGTTTTTATTATATTTGTTAATACAATTGTTAGCTTAAAATATACTGTATTTAGTGTATATTTATTAGTTTTTTTTATTCATCACTGTCTATAACTATTGTATTTTAGTATTACAGGATAAGTGTGTATAATAACATATGAAAATAAAATATTGTAATATCTTATAATTTTTTATTAATGCTAATAACTTTTAGATAAAATAATTGCATTGTTTGATTGTACTGTAATTTTAATATTCATTGAATTTCTTTTTGAAAAATTAAAAAAAAATATTCAAATTATCAATTACTATTATACACTACAAAACATCGATTTTTAATAATATAGCTAAATAGTAAAAATTGTTGAAAGTTGTTGTTAATATTTTTTAATATTTCAACATTTTCAAATTATATTTTATTAAATTGATAATTAAATAATATATATAACATTTGAATAAATTATTAATCATATGTTTTTAACAATCAATTATTTGTATGTCATTATATTACGTAACACTAGATATGATATGTAAATTCATGTCTTAAATATAGTGCCTATTATATCGTCAAAATCATCAAATTGAGATTAACAATGGGGTGTTAGGTATCGGGAGTATTGGACTGGTATTTAGGGTATATCTAATCAGTCTAACAAGCCCTCCTAGTCGACCTACTTGTCCTAGTTGATAAAAGCATTAAATTACTTTTTTTTTATTACAAAAAATAATACATTTAAAAATTTTATAGCTAATAACAAAAGTTGCTACTTTCAAATAAAAAATATATTTTTTACAAAATTAGTGATAGGCTTATTAGGACTTTTACTCTCTCACACACACACACACACACACACACACACACACACACACACACACACACACACACACACACACACACACACACACATGCAAACATATATATGATATATTAAGGGAAAATTTGAGTGACGTTTTGTTTGGGACTGTCTGTACACTTGTACTCCAATGGTGTACACCAGTACTGACTGCCTATTAAACCAGTTCCCAATATTATACTTTACTTTGATATATAAAGTACTCAATGACCAGGGAATTCCTGTATGTATTATACATTTTTGCCCATTTACCAAGTATTTTATGATATATAATATTAAAAGCTTTATTAGTTACTGTAATGATATAAATACATTTTTAAAATATATAAAATTACACACTAAATAATATTTAATATACATGTATTTACTGTATATACTTTAGTTATATATTATATATATTATAAATACTTGTTTTATTGATATGCAATAATATTAATGATACATATTATTCATATCTAATTTATATCAAATATTAATGTTATTTTTATAATTAAAAAAAGCTTTAATAAACAAATTTTTATCGGCAATAACTAAAATAACAACAAAAAGCAATAATAATTAATAAAACTTGAAAAATTAGGACAAATTATTAGCTGTGTATCATATTTGTCCATTTTATCGTAAATAAATATTGTAAAATATATTTAATAATTATCAAATACAGCATATACTTTATATATTGTGCAATATTACACTATTTGTTGTAAAGGTTATTCCCATCACAACAACAATAAAATTAAAACTAATACACAGATAGACAAAAAAAATTTGGGCACAAAAAAATTTTTTGTTATCTAATGTTATACATATTTTTTACATAAAAATATTCCTCATTTCTATCCCATAATAAAGTCACGAAAAGGAAGTTTTGTTTTTTTTTTGTTGAAAAAAAAGATATTATATTACAAATAAGTAATCACTTTTACTGATTATTATATGAATTGGGAAACCCCTGGTGTGAAAAGTTAACTGCAATTCAAGTACTAAAGTATTTATTAAATAATAATATTATTTAAGTGCTGATAGGATTTACATGTATATATCGCATGTCTACTACTGTACTGTAAAAAAACTTTTAAGTATTTTTATTAGTACTTGAATGTGAAATCTCTATAAATACTAAAGTTTGAGATGATTTTTTGAAACTTATGGGACTTTAAGTTTTATTTTTAAAAAACTACTTCTAAATCATAAAAATTTTAATTTGTTTTTATATCTACCGTTTAAATCATCTTAAATATTATATTCAATTAAAAGTTTAATTTTGTTTGATTTGATTGAACAAAATGATGAAATATCTGTTATTTGGTTTATTATTTGTTGCCTTATTGTTAATGTTGGTTATATCGTATAAACATTCATTGGGTGATGAAATTGAAGACATTGTCGATAAAACTGAAGACATGATTGTCAAAAGTGAAGGACAACTGACGGAATATTTTTCAGCACTTATTAAAAAATAATTTACTAATTATTTTTAAATTTTTTTATAAATCTAGTGATTAATTCAAAATATTAATGAAAAAAAAAATATTTTGAAATATTGATATCATTTTCTTGTAAATAATTTATTTATCTAATTATAATTTATTTATAAATTAAACGTATTTATTATTGTAAATAATATTTTTTATAAACAATTTTTATATTTTACGCTAATTTTGATCCATTTATTGAAATAATAAACTAAATTGAAAAATAAATTTTGAGTTTATGTTATTTAAACATTTTTTTATTTAATTTGTTTATTTTAAAAAATGTATTTTGTATGCTATTTATTTTTCCACGACATATTAATAATATTGATATAATATACAAAATCAATATTTAAAATAAAACCACCTTGTATAAATTTTAAAAACTAACTTTAAGTATAAAATTTTAATAATCAAATTAAATTAAACTACAAATATTTGTAATTAAAATCCGTTATTTGATGAAAACTATATAATTAAATAGTTAAACCCATTGAAGTAATTTGACATTTGTTTTTTAGACACTTCATTACAAACAGAAAATATTTATCCAGACATTTGTTTAAATATAAAAATCCTGGAAATAATATATATTTTTTAAAAACTTTTCACGACTAGTATCTAATGCAATGACCAGAAATATATGGTATATAAATGTCAAAATTCATTGCATTTAACAAATTATTATATTTTATTACTATTAAACTAATTAGTTAAAAAAGTTTTTGTGAACAAAATTATTGTTACATAACTGCTAGTAATTCATTGATAAGATATTATTAAATAATATATATTGAAAAAAATAGTTATATTAGTTAATATTTATACGAAAAAAAAGATTTTGAATCAAAATGAGTGACAAATTCAATGATAATCCCGTGAGTTATGATCCAAACACAGACCCGGCGGCAAAACAGTTGGAAATGTTTAAGAAAACTGCCGGAGGTTTCAATCACAAGGTTTGTACTAATAATTTAATTAATAATTTAAATACTATTAAATAATCTAAAAAAGACTTATAAAAAAAATTATAATCATTTTTATAGACCGATAACATGACAACAGTATTTGGTGTTCCCGTCGGTGACCGGACTAATATGATAACTGCTGGCCCACGGGGGCCGGTACTACTTCAAGACGTAGTATACCAGGATGAAATGGCACATTTCGATAGAGAACGACCACCCGAACGGGTTGTCCACGCCAAGGGTGCCGGTGCTTTCGGATATTTTGAGGTAATTAGGAAAATGTTAATTTTTAAGTATAGAAAATAATAGATCTAAAATTGCCAATTAGGTGACCAGTACCGAAATCACTAATTACTGTAGAGCCGCGCTCTTCAATATGGTCGGTAAGCGGACACCGGTTGCCGCCCGCTTTTCGACAGTAGTTCGTGAGCGTGGATCGGCCGATACGGTCAGAGATCCGCGCGGGTTTGCCGTCAAGTTTTACACCGAAGAGGGCAATTGGGATCTGGTTGGCAACAATACGCCCATATTCTTCATACGAGACGCCTTCCAGTTCATGACATTCATTCACTCACAGAAACGCAATCCACAGACAAATCTTATTGATTATAACATGCGATGGGATTTCTATACGTTAAGACACGAATGTTTGCATCAATTGACGTTTCTGTTTGGCGATAGAGGCATACCTGATGGTCACCGGCATATGGATGGATGGGGTTCTAGTACTTATAAATTAGTCAATAGTGATAACAAACCTATTTATAATAAGTTCTACTGGAAGACCAATCAGGGCGTCAAAAATTTGGACGTCGAAACCGCAAATCGATTGGCCTGTAATTATTATTATTAGTCTAAAAAAATTATAACATCAACATATAGTGGTTTTTAATTTAATTAAAAATATCTATATTTTTTTAATAAATTTTTGCCAAAAAATAGCTAAAGATCCCGATTATTCTGTTCACGACATGTTTGATGCCATCGCCCGTAAAGACTATCCGTCGTGGACTCTATACATACAAGTGATGACATACGAACAGGCAGCTAATTGGGAATTCAACCCATTCGACATAACCAAGGTTATATCTAAATTAATAATAGTTTATAAAAATTATTATCACTTTTTTTACGATCGTTTAATAACAATTAATTTTTATTAAAAGACATGGCCTGAGGACGAGTATCCACTTATAGAAGTAGGTCGTATGGTTTTGGACAGAAATCCGACCAATTATTTTGCAGAAGTGGAACAATTATCATTCTGTCCGGCGAGTAGAGTACCCGGCGTTGAGTTCAGTCCCGATAAGTTACTTCAGGGACGGTTGTTTGCCTATCAGGACACGGCTAGACATAGGTTTGTGTTGTTTTGTTCTCCCTATCAGTTCTTTTGATAATAAAAATAATTTAAATTAAACTTCACCACAGAATTGGCACTAATTTCCACTTAATACCAGTCAATCGGCCCATTTCGGCTTCGGTCTATCCGACCCAACGTGACGGCCAGATGACTGTCGATAGTAATCAGGGAAATGCACCCAATTATTACCCGAATTCATTCCAAAATGTTGGCCAAAACCCGAAACGATATAATGAATTCCGTTTTCAATTGCCGACCGCCGATGTAGACCGCTATGAGTCCAAAGACGAAGACAATTACACTCAGACGAGACGATTCTATCTGAGCCATACTCCCGAAGAAAGGCAGAGACTATTCAGTAACATCGCTACAGAGTTATCGTTAGTTTATAGTAATATCCAACAAAAAGCTTACGATATGTTCAATAAAGTCGACCCGAGTTATGGTGCGGGTGTCAGAATGGCCGTAGAAATGGCCAGTAAAAAGTAGGCCTTACTATAAGTTTCAGTATTATAATAATACATAATTACAATGATTATATAAAAAATTAATAATTTATTATAATTTAAAAATAATTTGGTTATGGGTTTTTATCAACATTTTTCCAAAATCTACTTTTAACTAATTTAAATTAATTTTTACAAATAAATAATAATATATCAAACAAAATATAAATATTATTATTATTATTATTTATCAATGTTATTAAAAATGATATATATATAATTTACATAATTTAAAATTTTTTTCTATACATGCACCATTTTGATTTGTAAAAATAAACTTTTTATTGCTAACACTAAAAAATCTCAATTATAAAAAAATAATATTTTAAAATTAAGTTATAAAAAGTCATGAGATGTGTAAAAGAAATAAAAAGTTATGATTTATGAACTGAAAACTAATAATAAAATTATGAGTATCCAAGTCTTGCATCATTTTTCATTGGTATCCAATAAATTCAAATCCAATCGACAAATACGTAATCTCTTCGTTGGCTTAATCTTTGGCCTATTTTCTTCTGCAAAGATCTTTGTGTCCGAAAAATTCTTTCTCTTTAATGACATTTTTGAAGATATTTGTTTTGCTAATCTAATTGTCGGATTAATTCCTACTAATAAAAACAAAACAAAAATTATTACTATAACTATTGGGATATAATTTTTTTTTATAAAGTTTACCTCAAGAGATATAATAATATTATAGCTATGACTTGAGTTAACAAATTAAATATCATATATTTGAAAACAGTTTGACAGACATAAAGTGTGGACAACCGATACTATTAGTGATAAAAAAAAGTTAAACACAAAAACCCAGTTAATGAAAATCACTTGTTAAACATACTGTATTACTGTTAGATAAATTAATAGTTAACTTAAGTAATAGCAAAAAATAGTTAAAGTGAAAAACATTTACCAGAAAAAATAAACACAAAATAAATTATAAAATTTAACAATAAATTACCATTTGATTGATTCACATTCAAATCACAGTCAGATTGATTATCACAGCTATGATCATCACCAATGGGTTGTCTACACAATGGACACAAATAACATCTGGTAATCGATAGCCGAACAAATGGATTACAATGAAGATTCAATAGTCTGGACTTCCAATCGATTCCGGTATCAAATCGTCGCAATCGGTCGAGTCGTTGACGTTTAGTGAACGAGTATTGATGGGAACCAATCACCTGATTCTTGTGTGTCAACTCCATTATAGTACATCTCTTCTCCAAATCATCACTTTTCCATCGGTTATACTTATTGTCAATTAAACCGATTCTATGTCTATATCTTGTAGTACACGACGCCTCATATTTCTTCACATATGCCTCCAGTTTAGTTTTGCCTGGAGTCTGACACTTAAAGGCAAGACATACCCGACTGCCCATCGGTGAGGATAACGGAAAGATAGACAAACATCTCAGGTATTGACTTCTCCATTGATTGACAATTAACTGCTTTTGTCTCTCTATTATCCGGTATTTCTCTTTAATTTTATTCACAATCCTTTTGCGTCTTTTTATGTTATTTAGTATTACATTTGCATTTGTATTGTTATCGGCGTCAATAAGCTTAGGCTATAAATTACAAACAAATAAAAATAGTTTAATTATTAAATGTTAAAAAAAGACATAAGATATATCAATATATAAAGTACTAAATAATATACTGTATTAAAATTATAAACAATAATTTTTTAATATTAACAACTGATATGATATTATAAAAATTTCAAACTATAATAAATAATAGTAAGAGTGGTTACAGTATTTGATAAAAGTTTGATAAACACTAAACATTTATTTTTTTAAATAATGATTTAAATTTTAAAAAAATCAAATACAGTTTATAGATATTATTATACAATCATTTTGTTAATCAATATAAAAATCAAATGAAACAAACCTTTAATTGTTGACTCAAACTATTCACTAAAATCTGATCGCAATTATCGGCAAAATAGTGGTCACATTTGGCGATATCTCTTAAGGCAAACGAATTCATCACTTGTTTGTCGTCCAAACGGTTCACATGTTTGACACTAATTAAATTGAGATAACGGTTGTACTCAGAGCTGGACATCAGTGAGTTCTCCCTTTCCTCACATTTGGTCCAATGTTTTAAGTCGTTTGAATGCGATCTTAAGGTCCGATAATTACTAGATTGTTGTCTTAAATGTTGGTCAGGATTACTACTACTGGCAGTATTGTTGACCCAAAGACGCATACGTTTGGGACTACTATTGACAGCATTGTTAGTCGCGGCGGCGGCGGTGACACTGTTATCTACTTCGCGGTTATTTGCGATCGACAATCGGGTCAATGGTTGACCAAATTGTTGTGAATTTTTAATAAACTTATTTAACATCTTCTGGTACTTTGTAAATGTCTTCTGTTTAATGAAATACTTATAGTATTTCCTATACGAGTGTCGATCGTACTGTTTGATCACTTTTGGCGACAATCGGTGCAAATCAACGCTTTGATTGGCGAACAGCTTCGGGTCTCTCAACATATCTTTGGTAATCTTAAGTCGTTTGCCGCCACCGTTGTTGTCGCCAATTGATCGCTGCGATCGCAGCCGCCGCTGTTGGTCACAGTCATCGCTGACTTCGGCCGAACTCATTGTGGCCACCTGTTCTTTTACCGACACATACGAGAGTCGGTCAATGCTCTGACCAAACCATTTGGTGTCCGAAAAACATTTCAAAACATAATAATTATATAATATTTGTGTTTATAATAACACTATTATTGTATTCATATTATTATTATTATATGAATGAGTATTGCTATCAATATTTAGCACACAATTACTGCTCACTATTTTGTCTCAAAATAACATTTTTAAACCCCATTTACAAAAGGCCCAAATTTACGGTAGTTTTAAAAATATTAAACTTATTAATAAATAACTAAAAAAAATTAATTTATTATTATTATTACTTTTAAAAATATGACTATTTTTGTTAATCACTAAATTATATTCATTTAATTATTTGCTAAAATATATAAAAGTAATAGAAATTAATAATAATTTTTTCAAATTGTTTAACAATTAATACTATTTGTGTTATGAATTTGAATGAAATCTACAGTATTATTGGTAATTGGAATTTAGTGATGAAACTGTAGAATCGATACTTTTTATTACTATAGAAGCTATTGGTTAATGTGTTAGTAAAAAGACCTTTAAAAACTTAATGTTATTACAAACTTATTACATGAATAAATGCGCAAATTTTTTGTTGGTTTATAATTAGCGCCAATCAATAGATAACATTATTACCATGATCATTTCAATAATATTTCAAATTATTTCCAATTTGTTCTAATGATACTTGGGTAATTTATTTAAAAAAAACTAAATTTCATTATAATATTCAATCATATATAAGAATTATTTATTTCAAAAAAAAATAATTTTTACATTATATTTAATATACAAAAATAATCATTTTATAAATTATAAATATTACATAAATTATTTATTTAATAACAACCTGTAAATTATTAATATAAATTAAATCGTTAATCAAATATATGTTTAATTCATTAATTCAAGTAATTGTTTGACAAATAAAAAACACTGAGAATTCAATTTTGAGGGAAAATTGAAAACTAAATCATTTTTTTTTATAAAATTAATGACAAAATTCATAATACGATTATAAAATTATACTGATATTTATAACTTATAAACTAATTGTCCATGTTAATATAATTTATTAAATTATCACCAGGTGTCATTTGTGAATACATCAATTTTGTAAATTTTTATCTTTAACAATTAGAATACATGTATAATATATATTATTTACTATACCTTATTTATACATGCTCAAACTTTACATATTGTTAATATACACTATTAAATTACATATCCATGAAAAAATGGACTCTTATATTAACCTAGATAATTTATATAAATAGATATAAAATGTTATATTATTTATAGTTTCATACATAATATATTGATAATATAAGTATCAATAGATTATAAAAATGAAATATAAGCAAAGCCGTAAAATTTATGATAAACTAAATTATGATATCAATTGAAAAAACAAATAAATGATAATTTCAATGATTGTCGCGGATAAATGTCATACTAGTTATAGACCATTCAAATCAACTAAATGTATACAATATATAAGCTCTTTATATGGAAAGTGTATTAAAAATTTGCATAAAATGTGTGACACAAGTCTTAACTATAAATATAAAGTGTTAGTGATTTTTGGTAATACAAAAATGTGCCGCTTATACAATAAATCCAATAATATAATACATTTATTATAATAAATACTGTTTGTTGTCAATACTATTTGTATTTAAATACAGTACAAGTATAGGTTAAGTATATTAGACAATACATTAAATAAATTTAAGCATACTCATTTATTAAATTAAATTATTTATGGTAATCTTAATGTTTGTTGTTATTGTTGTTGCAACAAAATAACAGTATAATACAAATAAGTTTTTTAAAACTTTATTAAATATACTTTGTATATAAAAACTAATTTATTTTATTTTATTAGATTTTACTATATATTATTATTATTATTTTATTTTTTGATTACTAAGATTAGTTTATTTAAGAGATACAAAAGTTTCACAAATGTTTAATTTTCATTAAATATTACAATTAAAATACAAACTTACAACACATTGAAATATTGTAAATTGTTTTATTAAGTTTCAATATATATTTGTTTGAAGTATTTAATATTGATAATTAATTAATTTTTTATATCTTTTAAAAACTTTATAATGTATCTCAATGTATCTATTAATGTTTTCTTGTATACATTTAATATAAGAAATTATTAAAATATCAAGTTTTTACTCTTAAATAATCTTAGATTATAAAGTAGAAAACAGATATATTGTTTAATATGAATATTTTTGAAGACAAATTTAATTAAGACAGAAAAAATCAGTTATATTAATAATTGATAAAATACTATTATATTAAAATTCATAAAATACTTTTTAAAATAAACTATATTTTAAAATAAAGGAAGGATTCAAATGGAGTAACGATCAAAACAGTAAAAAAAAACATCGGTTTATTAGATTGTTATTGTTATTAATATTAGAGAACAGATGCAATGATTCTCTACAATTGAATCATCTCTCTCTCTCTCTCTCTCTCTCTCTCTCTCTCTCTCTCTCTAAACTAGAGGACACACATACAGACATTACATCCCGATCCCTATAACCCACTATTTTACAGCTCATCTGCCGTTTATATATAACTTATATTTTACAATATATATCCTCACATATCAAATGCTTTTTCCAGTTTTCTCCCCTCAGAAATTCATACTCTAATACTACTGTATATAATAATACGTGCCTTTTGTTAAAAATATTATCATTTATTTTATTTGTTATTGTATGGCATACAGTCTATAAGTTACTACAGTGTCCTTTTATAGACATAACTATAGATATCGATGTACATAATGTATATAAAAATAAATTTCATAAAACAATTAGATCTATTGATTATTGATCATCAAAATGATTGATTTTAATAAATGGGTTTATGATTATTAAACAATATATCTATGGTTTATCATAACATTAGTTTAACAATATTTACTGTATATATATAGTTAGCTAAATATTTTGATCGCATAATATATAGGGATATTTTGGCTATAAAAACAATATACCACTACTTATTGTATATGTCATCATATGATTTATTTTACATTATAATGAGTGAGAGACTGAGTGAGTGAGAGTTAGTGAGTGTGTGAGTGAGTAACTGAGTGAATAAATTCATGAGAAATAGATAGTCATTTAAAAATAAATGGGTTATATTATAGCTGATAATAGGAGATGTCTAGTACTCTGTATTTATTGTATATAATATAATATAAAACTTATTATAAAAGACTTGGCGGTTGAATATAAACGGAAAGATATTTTAGGGAAAGATTTTAAAATCATTAATTAGTTTTTACTTTTTTTTTTGCTTTGTTTTTCCAATATATTAACAAAAATATGGTTACGAAGAAAAATAAGTTTTAGAGATAGATAGATAGATAGATAGATAGATAGATAGATAGATAGATAGATAGATAGAGAGAGAGAGAGAGAGAGAGAGAGAGAGAGAGAGAGAGAATAGCAATCACAATGACATCGTTGATGAAGACTGATGACCAGTCGGTGCCGACACTACATGAATACCCAAAGACATGACATTACAGTCAAAGCCTAAACACTATATAGGATTTGACTCTACAGTACAATACAGAACTTAATCCTTGATTTCTTTTTTTTTGTCGACAACGACAACACACCCGATACTAACACTTCTTTAATGGCTATAAGATATAAGATTTGGTCCAAAAAATTATTTATTATTAAAGAGAATAAATAGATTGATAGATAGATTGTGTGCTTTTTTGTTTGTCTGGCTTAATATCAAAACATATATTACTATAGTTGATAATATTTAAGTCATAGATACAAAATGACATTAATTTATACATTAGTTTTTAGCTTTTAATAGTAGTATTTATTTGTCATCATTGGATAAAAAATTGTTTGCATATATTATTATTGTAAGTCATTGTTTTGTTATAATTACATATCATGGTCTTTACTTTAATATTTATACTATACTTTTTTTTATTATAAATTTAAATAAATATCATTATCGTTAATAACATAAGTTATATAACTTTTTATAATAATAAATAACAATAATAATGTTATTTATAAGTTATGCACATATTTTTGTTATTTGATTTAATGTGTGAATGAAATAATTATTGTATTTAGAGTTGGGGCAATTTTTCAAGGGATAAAAATTCCCTAATAAAATCCCTCCAATTTTTACTGAAAATATTTTATTTTCCATCCCTAATTCGTTAGATATGAAATTTATATTTTATATTTCTACAATAATTAATACCAAAACTTATTATTTTTTTTGCATAAAATTTCATTGAAATATTTAAAAATAAATTTGAAAATTCAATGAATTTAGTGATAGTATTTAATAATAAAACATAAAATACATTTTAATACAACATATTTGTTATTCAAATCTTATAATAAAATTTGTTTCAATAGATAGTAGCACAAGGAAATGGATTTCCTGAGAATTCCCGGGGAGCAGGAAATATAGGGAACTTTTGGAAATAAAAAACAAGGTAAACAATTTGCCCGAACCCTAATTGTAATACTAATATTAAAATATTTATACATAGATATTAATATTTTGTAAACATTTATTACACAAATATTTGTTATATAAATAATGCAACAAATTTTTAAAATATAGTTTTAAGTTTTAGTAAATATTAAATATTGTATAATAAAACATATTATTTCCTCTCTAAGTGATTCATACTTTGAAATTACTTTACAATTCACATGATTTATAATATTTTAATTAATAATTTGTTTAAAAAATAACAATTTATCAAATTTAATAGTCTATGTTTATTAATATAAAATTTCTATTATTATAAATTTTTCTAAACTGCTACAAGTGTTATCAAAAACAAGGCTTAAAACTTAGTATTAAAAAAAACAGTGACATTTTTTTAAGTACAAGTATATTATATAAGCATTTAAATATACACCTTATAAATTAATTTAACAATAATAACAACTGTTGCAAAAATAATTTTGTATTACACATATAGTTAATGATGAAAAATTGGCCAAAACTTGACAGTTATATAAACAAAAATAAATCAATCTTTTAAAAAATGTTGTTTTTTGATAATCTTTATATACTGTATATGAGAAAAGTGGAAGTTTGTTGTCAGTATTAAACTATTGTCAACTAATCTGTGTATATATTTTTGTTTTGTCAAACCAGTGCCGCAACAACTATAAGAAACAAACAAAAAAAATATCATAAATCAGAATTTGACTGTTCATTAAATCAACAATCAATTTAATGGATAGACAACAACAATAACAAATAACAATAGCATATATCAACTACTATTCTAGTTATTCACTATATAATAATAATGTTTAACAAAACACTAGTGTGTTAGCTTATATATAATATATATAAATTATATACAGTATATATATATATATATATTTAGCTAACCGTTCACAACAATCGACGGTCTCTCACTCACTCATTTACTCACCCACTCAGACCTAACGGTACCTAATGTTACTATCACTAGTTTAGTGATACAAAACTATTGGCAACAACTCCTGTCTGTATTGTTATTCAAACCAATTACTAGCGAACAAGTGATTTATATAGAAATCTATTGAATAGAAAGTCAATTTAATATCAATTGTGTCGACACACCGGCGGCTCATCCTATTGTGAGAAACCGGTACCCGAAAAAAAGGTCGGATAGTAGTAGTAGTATTCACACAAAAGTCATTCAATTGTTTGACACAATTGTTGTTCACAATTATCATAAACAGAGATTTATTATCACAAATGGTGTGACACTGTCTTTGATAAAGAATTATTGCTTTCAAACAAAAAAATCAGTTTATTTTCATTTTGATGTTTCGTTTGAAGTTTTATTTTCTGTTATTTTTGTATTTGTTATAAATTAAAATTTATTGAAATTTTGCCTTTATTTGTCAAATTAATTTTAATTTATATTAAATTCATATGAATGAATATTATATATTATATATCAATATGTTATAAATTGTATATATATTAAATAGAAACATTTTATTCAACAAAACTAATAAAAAACTACACATATTGTATTTTAATTTAATAATTATATATAAAACGATTACATAATGACTTTGTTATCGTATCTGATTTCAAATGATAAAAATTGATGACAATAGGAGTGTGAGTGATATAAAAATAGAGTACACAAAAAACTAACAAATTTAATACTCATATTAAGTACAGTATTATCAATGTATTATATATATATAACTTTATGTTAGCTTTTTTTGGTGAGCACCGGGAGATATACTGTAGATAAAGCAAGAGATAGAGAGAGGGCTTGAAAACAGGCGATGAAAAGTACAAGCGCTCAGTACGCCATTCACACTGTCTGTCAATGTATGCCTGTTATGCACGTGCGAACACTAACACGTGTGAAATTGTTTCCCCCCCTCCGAAAGTAAAAAAAACCGTACGGCCTTCACATCCAATTTGTATCATTATTTTGTGTACAAAAAAAAACAGAAAATTACAAACAAAAAGTTATTTAAGTTATAGATTTAATATTGATTTAGTGGACTCTCATCTGTTCACTGCTTTTTTCTTAAACTCAATCTCCTATCAACTAATTTACAACCAAATTAAGTGTATTTTGTTTTTATGTTTTTGAGGCAATAATTTTTTTTTTTAAAGACTACTAATAATAATCTTTTAAAACTAATAAATATGTCAAACAAGAAACACATCTCAACTAATCGTTTGCATATATCGTTTGTCAGTAATTTTGGTTTTTTGCTGCAAAAACTAAAAACAGAAAAATGTTAAGAATAAAGAAGTAGTTCTGGGATTCATGTCTCGAGTGTCTTCTCAAAGCAATTAATGGATTAAAATACAAACAGACAGACAGTTATAGTTAAGATTTGTATGGCTGTCCTTCAAATGATGATATGACTCACACAATATCTCACAAAACAGTCAGTTTAGTAGTGAATAATATGTTTTAACCTAATTTCTCTCTATGTGTTAATTGCCCACTAATTTAATGACTAAATTTATCACTTATTTTTCATAAATTTACAACTTTTCCTTAAAGTATTTAATATCAACTCTAAGGAAATTGAGTGTTATATGTCTAAAAATATATAAAAAATTTTCTCATACTTTTTAAACAAAAAATAAAATAAATACAATTAGTCATTTTAAAGATATTTTTTAATTAGTCTAAAATATTTAATATTAATATTCCACTAAATAATTGTAATGTATTTAATATTTATTTAATTACCGATATATTAATAACAAATGTTGCAATTAATAAAAATAAATGAAAAATATATAAATATATAAAATAATAAATTTAGCATTTTAAATGATAACAAATTTACACTATTATAAATATGAATCAAATTATATTAACTATTATTGACTTTATATTAAATATCATATCATATTATATCATATAAAATACTGAAACATTATTAAATAATAAATAAATTATACAAAAATATTAAATATAATATTACAATTCTTGAACTGTATAAAAATTATTGATATTTAATATTATACCTGTATATTTCCTAATATCTGTTAATATCAGTATACTTTTTTAAGCATAATTCTAGATATAATTATATATAATATTAACTTAAATATTTGAAATATTAAACCAAAATATTGTAATTTCAAAATAGAGTACTTTGTATTTAGATTTGCGTAAAAACTTAAAAGTTGTACACAAAAAATACTGTATATGTATTGTATGTTATAACTTATAATTAAATTAAAATGCTTAATCATTAAACTGTTAATATAAAAAATATTTATATACCGGTATTCACATCTATTTATACAATTAATTGTTTTGTTTATGTAAAATATTGTGGCACACAAATTACTTGAAACTATTATACAGTAATATAAAAGTCTATTAAATTTATAGTATTCATGTGAATTACTTCTATGATATATTTATACAGCAATATAATATTGCCAATATTATTAAATTTATATCAATATTATATTTACCATCTATTGAACAGTTGTTTTTTAAAAAATTATTGAGCTAATCTACAGTTTCAATATAATAGTGATCATTAGTTTGAAATGCAAATGTTAAATTAATAATGATAAATAAATAATGATATATATAAATAAAATTTTCAATTATTATTATTATTCAATAGTCATTTTATTATGTAATAGAATATACTGAATATATTTATAATTTGATATTTTAATATATTTGTTTGTATATATATATATATATCATAGTATATAGATATTATATATATAAAATAACAGTTGAGCAAATACTGTACATTAAAATAGCATATTTTATAAGTTTTATAAGTTATAACAATATTGTTAAATAAAATTAAAATGTAATTTATAAATTTATTTTTTGTAACATTGATGTTATTTTTCCGCATTATTTATATCATATCATTTACAATATAAATAACAAAATATTTTTAATAAAATTTTAATATCAAATATAAGTTTCATAATAAATGTTGTAGATTATAAAATTTAATGTATATTTATTAGGTTTTTATATTTATTTAAGACAAGAATTAAAAACAATGAATTACTTAAGGTAAGTGATATTATTTAATAATAATTACTTAAAATATATAAATTATACAATTTATATTATTTATTATTTAAAAACTTTAAATTTACAATTAATAAATGTTTAAAAGTTTAAATTAAATATGCAATTATTAGGTAATTAACTTTACACACACACATACATACATTTGTAAGTTGAATGTTACTTAAAATTAATACTTTTAGTGTAATATACATATAAAAGTTAAACTTAAAAAACAACAAACAATTTTTGAAAACAATTTACTTCCTCTTCACTTTAAATGAGACGATATTTAGCAATAAAAATAATGTTGGATTTGATTGAGTAATCTTTTATATAAAAATTTCATTGTTATGGGATTTTTCCTTTTTTTATTTTTTTAGATGAAAAAAAGACACGTTTGCTAAACAATATTATATTTATATAATAGTATATAAATATATTTTTATGTTCATCTGAAAAACTTTCAAACATTTAAATATACTGTTATAAGTTATTTATATGATTCATAAAAAGTAATATTTTTTATAGTCTTTGTGTTAATAATATTGTCAATTGATATCTTATTGCTTTATAGTTATGTTTTGTTTTGTATGTGTTATTTAGGAATTAATTTTATAGTTTATTGCTTTAGTTTTGTGTGATTATTAGAAAAAATATATCCACAAAAATAGCATTATTTATTTTATTTGACAAATTATTTTTTTTTTGTGATAATAAACGGTATGTTTTATATAATTTTTGTTTGTATGATTTCAATGTACACTATAATGTATAATGCAATAGATAAAAATTTAATATTAAAAAAATTAATATTTGTAATTTTCATAAAAAACATAGCTACAATAATTTAACTATAAATATAATTTAAATTTAAATAAATATATTTATATTTTAATTAATTAAACATACAACTATACTAATGGAAGTAAAATGTTTTTTATATGTTAGGCTCTCTCTCTCTCTCTCTCTCTCTCTCTCTTATAAAAATAATTTGTGGTACAAAAAAGTTTTAGTCGAAAATTAATGAGAAAAAGGATTTACTAAAAGAAAATCTAAGCGAAAAAAAAAATTTAAGAGACAATAGATATGTTAGGCTTGAAATCTAAGGCAATGTTTGTGTCACTAATGTCTACAAAATTTATCACATTTTTCCTAATGTGAAAACATTTTTTTTCATTCTAACAGCTTATGCAATAAAATTAGATTAGTTTTGATTAAACAAATTGTATTTTTTATAAATTTATTTTTTACTTCAATGATAGAATATTCAACTAAACATTTATAAATAAATAAATAATAAATTTAGTATATAATCATAAATAAATTATAATAATTGATAATTAATTTTTTTTTATTATAGTATAACAAATAAACAAAATGGTAACCAAAACATCGTGGATATGTAAGAATATAATTGTATTATAACATCGAAATATTTTAATTATTCTATAAATATTGTTATCTAATAAAACAAATTTTTGTTAGTTTTTAACTATTGATAAATATAACTATGCTTTTTCTATTAAACCATAATGCAATATTTATTTTTAATCAATTTATAGTGAAATAATAAAATTATATATTTTATATACTGTATATAAAATATTTATTTTATCAAAATCGTATATCAAATCTATTATATTTATAAGTGTTTTTATTTAACTAAAATTATTCACATAGTTATTATGTTATATATTGTTTTTGAACATAGATATTAATGATTATCATTGATAAATTTTGTCGCATAATTAGTTTATTATTTTATATTCGCTTTATTTGATTGGCATTTAGATCTTTGTAACTAAATATTTATAATATCAAAATTAATTATTTATATAATACTATATTTAAATTTTACTAATTAATTATTTTTAATATTCTAAAAATTTATTTATTGTAAAAAAATTATTATTATTAATTTATAATTAGTTGATTTGATTGTTGAATAGGAAAAAATTATTTTATGTACATAACTAAGTAATAATAATATTTATAATAAAATATTAGTAATTTTATTATCAATAATATTATATTTACAATACTAAGTGGAACTAATCATATAATTATTAATTTATAATATATAATACTATACTATTATGTATAGACACTTAATTTGTTTACTATAACTTATAAATTAATAAATAGTCGAATAATTAGTCATTTTAATAATATTTTAAAAACGTTTTTATATTAGATAATAATTATATAACATAATAATAAAGGTATAATAAACAAATAATTTGTAATTATTTCTTAATAAATAAAAAATATATTTTTAATAATACAGTATATATACAAAGCAAAGAATTGCAATTATAATCATTCACTTGAGATTAGTTTTAAGAGAAAAAATTGTCTTTAATTTCATATATTTGTTTGAGATTTAGCTGAAGACAACAACCATTGCCTCGAAGTAATCCCAGACTTCAATAATTGTAAGAAGCGTTCAAAAAGTGAAAGAAACGGTCGAAACAAGAGAAGACTAATGGCTAACAATAGCGACAATAATGAGGATCTGCTTATAATTGAAGACTTAATGGCGACAAACAGACACAGCATTGAGAAACTGTTCAATGAATTGCTCCATAAAGTCAATACTGATCCTAAATTCACTGATTTTAGGGACAGCCTTAATATTAATGGTAAGCTAAGAGATGAGTGGTTTAATGTTTATTATCCTTTAAAAAAATCTTTTAAACATATTATATAATCTCTACTAATATATTAGACATAAGATATTGTATACTTTATACTTAAATATTGTCTATCAAATACTTGTTTTGTGATATTTAATTTGCGACACCAGTTAATTAAAGTAATTTTTTTATTTGTTTACATTTAAAGATAATTATTTCATAAATAAAAACGAGTTTAAGGATAGTTTGTTACCGAAACTGTTGAAGTTGGCCACCGATGGCTCGCAAAAGGCCACTGCGTTGGCTGTGCTGTCGGTAATCCTATTTAATGACTGGAAATCGCAAAAATCAAAACTAAGCGAAAAGGCTCTCAAGGCTTCACTAATACCGCAATTAATTTCAATTTATTGTTCAACTAATGAGACAGAAATCCATGAATTGATTTTTAATTTGTATTTACTTTTATTGTTAATCATTGCTAACACTAGTAAACGCGTTATGGCATTACTATTACTTCCAGATAACCTATTGATCAATGATATTATTGGGTATATTATTTTGTTATATTATATTTAATATACACAGTATATACTGTATATATATATATATATATATATATATATATATATATTATTAATTAATTTTATTATTGATTATTGAAAAATAGGGTAATCAATGAGTCAAATGATGTAAATTTAGTAACTTTATCGTTAAAATCGATGCAATTTTATTTGTATTACTGCCGCAAATTTGATACGATATCAGCCGTATTACCGGTGCTGACAAAACTGTTGAATCAAACAAATATGATAATAGTCGCTGAGGTCTGTAATACGATTTATATATTTACACAAATGTTTCAAAGCTCAAGAAAAGCAGTGATAGCATCACAGGTTTGCCATAAACTATTGGATCTGTGGTCAGACACGACCGATGAGGCCATAATTAAACCCATATATAGTATATTTGTGGCCATTGTTAGCCGTTTTAATGAATACAAGAATAGTATGCTCGGCCCAGACTTGAATGTCTTAAAAATTATACCCCAATTGATTTCATCGACCGATTTGAATAAGTTATGTGCTATTAATTTGATCAAATGTTTGGCAATGAAACCGATTTGTGCCAAACATTATTTACCTCAACAGCAAATACAACAAATTATTGATAGCAAAACAATTTGTTTAATAAATGATTTAATTGAAAACAATGACAACAACTCAGATATATTGAAGTCAAGTGCCGTCAATGCGATCTTCGTTATGGCATATAATGCATCAATAGATCAGTTGAAGTATATGGCAGATCAAGGTTTGTGTACATAAAGTGATATAAAATAAAAATATTTTCATATAGAAATTAATTAGCAATTTATTATTTCAACTCATATATTAATTTTAATGATATATTAATATTTGCAAATAACAGTGCTTTGTATGCAAATTTAAATGAATTATATTTTAATGAAATATTTTTATTCAAAAAAAAAAAATTAAAGGATGTCTGAAAGCCCTGTGCTCTCTACTTGACACACAATCAGAGCAATCATATCAGAAATATACACTATTAGCCATCACTGTCTTCTTGTACGAAGAATTCAAAGACCAATTAAAGTCAAACAAAGCACTTCCCGATCCCAGCAAACAATTGTCATCGTTTGCAACAATCATCCGCAATGTCGGTGGTCTTCAAAAGTTGAATCAATTGAACCAACAGAGTGAAGATGATGTCAAACAATATGTCGAAGAGATATTAGTTAACGGGTTTGGTATCGAAACGCGTCCAAACAAACGACAGCCGTCTATGAAAGTAATGGAAACCAGATTATCATTGATCGCATGTATGGATTGTAAGGCCGATTCGGCCAACACTGTTATATACCAGTGTAAACACGTACACATTTGCCGAAAATGTGCGGCCAGTGCTCTCAATAAAATTTATACGGGAGAGAGACAGAAAAAATGTTTGATTAAAGATTGCGGTGCATTAATCAAAACAGATGACTGTCCCTGGTTTCGGATTAAAGGAAAATTATATAAATTGGTATATATATCACTAATTGTTGTTTAGATTGTTTTTATATAAAAAAATTAATTATTAATTGTTTGTTTGTTAGTATATATTACTTGAGGACCAACTCGAGCGCAAACTGGAAGTGAAAATATTGAAATAAATTTGGATTTTGAAATTGCATCAAATATAACAACAAACTTATTTGTCATATGTTTTATAACACTATTTTTCATTTATATTGGTTTTTATGGTTATGTTATGCAATGAGTATTATTAAGAAAATTGATTTGAAAATTAAATTACACTAATATTTATTTATTTTATTTAATATAAATATATCATTTTTACTGATCATCTCTATTTATACTATTATTATTAATATTTAAATTTTATTTATATAATCAATAATTTTTACTATCAATAAGTTTTTAATTACAAACTATTGATATTATAGTTTATATTAAAAATTATTTATATTTTATCCAATAGTATATATAGTATTATATTAAAATATATTGTTAAAATTATTTTGAGTTATAAATGTATATAAAATTCAAACAATAAATAACAAAATGAGTGGTTTTCTGTAGTAATAATGGTTTTTGAATGGGATGTCAATTATAAATATATTTATAAATGAATGCAATCATTGTTTGCCAGATCTCTTGGGGTATAACTTCCAGAGAGTAGTGAAGTGATGGAGAGGTGATAGACATATCGTCGGCTTCTCCATGAGTTCATAGGCCAGTGATTTGTGTGCCTCCAAAGTGTTTGCCATCGGTTTTCATAAATGCTTTACCAGTGATGGCATTAATAGGGTCTGACATTCAAAACTACTAGTATATGACATATCGCCGTTTGACACCAACTTTTTGGCACTTTCTCTCTCTCTCTCTCTCTCTCTCTCTCTCTCTCTCTCTCTCTCTCTCTCTCTCTCTCTCTCTCTCTCTCTCTCTTTGCTCTTATTGTCGGTGCTCTCAATGCACACATACAATGTATGAGTGTGTGTGTGTGTGTGTGTGTATGTGGAGTCTCAAGAGATTGCCATTGTATGGATGAAGAAGTATATTGTGAAGTATAATATGACATATCCGATGATTTTACCTCACATTTGCATCCATTTTTGTGATCACTGATGCATTACAATAATTGTTGACTTGCCATACATTATAATCATTGTACTGTACTGTACTGTATATCACTATTTTTATAATCATGAATAACATGCACTCCTTTCATCGTTAGTTACCAAAAGGTTAACAAATAATTGAAACTTGAAAAACATTTTTATATACTGTACTTACAATGTATATCATAATATAATATATAAATATGCAGATACAGTAATTTATTGAAGTTATAATATACAGTACTGTATAAAAGATTGACTTTCTAAATATAACTTAAAATATAATTTTTATGTATACTATGCAAACAATTATTTAAAAATAGTTAGCAAACATGTATTAATACTCAAAAGTATTATGACTTTATGTTTATATTGATATATAGGTTTATATTGACCTCAAAAATGTATTTCATTTAAGAATCGATATCTCTTTTTTCTAGACTAAAAAAAACAACAACAATAAAAACAAATGATTTGTTTTTAAACTATGCTCTCCTAATGTTTTATTAGTTAAACAGTATAGTATTGGACAGTCGTATTTGTCGGTCTGTTTTTTTATTAATACTTAAATTTTATGCTTACCTTTTCTTAAAGTATATTACAAACAATTTGTATTACTTAAAGGATTTAAAATCACTTTTAGTTTTTTTGTTGTTCGTTGACTAAAGAGATGAAAATATACGAAGAAATGTCTTTTGATATACAAGTCTTGACTCTGATTTCAGTCACTATTTTTTGTGTTCAAATGGAAAATCCTTTGCCTTTATTTATAAAATGCTTTTTTTCGTCCTTTCCTTCTCATCGCATAACATGTCTCTCCACTGTCTTTACCACAAAACGAATAACCTTTAAGTCTTTTCACAAATGATACCAAATAATGTCCATTCAGTAGTCAGTCAAAGACATGAAGAGAGAGAGAGAGAGAGAGAGAGAGAGAGAGAGAGAGAGAGAGAGACCATAAGAGCAAAAATCACGTGAGTTTCTAAATAACAGTCCTTACAGTCACTTGGTTTTCATATTTTTCATTCATAGCTCTCTCTCTCTCTCTCTCTCTCTCTCTCACACACACACACACACACACAGACTTTTCTCTCTTTCTTTCTGTAGTTGTTTTTATATTATTATTGGTGTTATGTTTGTGTAGTCGTTGTTGTGTTTGTTTTTTTCATGAAAAATCTCTGATGTCTTTGCCATTCATTCACCAATTCTTCTTCTTTCTCATTGCACTAACAAATACAATGAGAGAGGATTTACTGAGATTCAGAGGACAGCCCTATTGAGCCTCTAATGTATTATACCATTACTTTAGACTATGTGAACAATAAAACTTTTGAGGCGCTCTCCAAAACATATAGAGATAAATAGTTAGATAGATATATACATAATATATTTACTTATATTGTGTGTATTTCTATTATTAATGAAAACATTATTTTATAATTATCTATATTTATTTTTCAAGATAAAACAAAATTATTTATTAAATATATACTAATATTATTACTGTTTAGAAATTTTAAATAATATTTTTTCAATGGAATTTTACGAAATATTAAAATTTTGAATATATTTGTTTAAAAGTCAACTTTAATTTTTTTTTAATAATTATTTCTAATTAAGTCTTATATAATAAAATTATTTTATTGCTAAATATAATGTCTTCAAAAAAAAGATGAGTTTTTCAGTAACTCTCAGATATATTGAAAGGCAACGACACAAACCGTTCCTATAATAGTATCGATCCATATATAGCACACAAACACACAACTAGTCTCTGGCATAATATCTCTCATAAAATGGTCGGCTCTTTCTTTCTTTCTCTCTCTCTCTCTCTCTCTCTCTTATATATATATATATATATATATATATATATATATATATATATATATATATATATGTCTATCATTTAGGGCCTTAAAAGTGCAACTCTGATAGGTATTGAAATGACATCTCATATAATAGTTCAGTGAATCGTATGAACAGATTGTTTGTCTAATATATTGAGAGTACTGTGTTATTCAAAATTACTGATTCATTCACTCGTATGTCTTATTAGTTTTAAAACTCATTTATTATTATTATTACTATTGTATTATAATTCACTGATTATGATCATCACTAATGAGATAATACTGTAAAATGTTAGTTAACATTATTTGACAAATAATTATTTTAAGTAAATATAAATAAAACTAAATGTTTAATCTAATAATTTAGGAAAATAGTTATATTTACTATAACTTAGTATAATATTTGTAATTTATATAGTTAAAATATATAGTTAAAAACTAGCTTGATTACTATATATTTTTCAACAATAAAATAAGTTATGTTTCTCATGATTACAAGTCAATTAATAATAAGCATAATAAAGTTTTTAATAAATCATTTATTATTAGTTCAATTGTCATTTTACAAAAAAAAGTCATACTCTCTGTATGTTTTGATGATATATTTTTTTAAATTATATTAAATTCAATGATTGCACAAATATTTTTTTTCATTCAAATATCTTATATATGTATAGCTTTATGGTAATTATCATAATTGTGTATTTATATATATTTTAAAAAATAAATGAATATTTCAATGTATTGTTTAATTAAAAATTAATTTGCACTGTAAAATTAAATTGAACTAATTTTTTCCAATAATATCTATATGCTATCATCAAAATATTAATGTTTTACACATTTAATGTAATAAAGTATTTATATAGCAATTTGTATACATTGTACGACATTGTATTTGTTTGTTTGTTAATAATACCCTATTTTTGTTTAGCTATTAGTAATAGTCAGCAAAATTGTATATTTATTGAAAGTTAATTATTTTTCACTTACTATTCACAAAATTAGTTTAACTTTAGTAATATAAAAATTTTTGAAACAAACAATACTAATTAAACTAAAATTTAGTACTAAAACATAAATGTTAATCAATATAATTTTAAGTAAAGTAAAATAATAAAATTAAGTAATTAAGTAATAGAATAAATAGTTTTCTTAATTAAAATAATAAAAATGCTAGAATTTAAACTAAAAAATGCTAAATAATATGATATATAATTAACTAATGATTAACAAAATTAAATGATTTAAAATGAAATGTTATTTTAGTTAAGGAACTATTAATAATTATTATAATAATAATAATAAATTTGTTGTTTCTTTATAATTATGACTATTTATACATTAAGTAAATTAATAATATACTGTAATAATATTAAACAAAGACCTATATTTATTTATATATATAGATATACTGTATATATATATATAAATCAATTTAGTCAATATATTTACAAATATAATGCAAAAAATATTTATAATTTACAAAATGAATGTTTATAGTAGCCATTAGAAAAAAATTAAAAACTAAATTAAAATGAAAATTATTTTTTTTCTTTCTATACTAAAATACTAATGAATTTTTACAATTATTTATGTAATTTTTTCTTTAATAAACTTACTTTATATTTAATATATAACTATATTATGTTTGTGTGTGTGTGTGTGTGTGTGTATGTGTGTGTGTGTATGTGTACTGTAATTGAAATAAAATTTAAGTTTAAAATAACATTTACACGGAAGTCCTGTCCGAGTTGTTTGTGTTGTTGTTGTTGTTGTTGATGTTATTGATAGGTGTGACCCCGTATTGACAGGGATTGAGACCAGTATTGGACTGTCGGGGAGACATCGGTGAGTATGACGACATCGTACCGAAAGGTGTGACCGAATGTTGTTTGGCTTTCAGTCTAAGTGTTGCTATACTGGAGGCAGACATAGCATTAGAGCACTGGTCAGTCGCGGTTCGGTATGCGGTTACGTATGGAGAGGTGGCGGCGGTGGTACCCGCGTAGGGACACGCATTGGACACGTTCTGGAGGCCAGCGTTGACGTTAGGCATTGTGGTACTCGTGTTGAAGCACGACATCGCCGATTGGGTGGCCGCCAGAGGATTGACGTTGACCGAGTTGAGACTTGGCCACGGAAACGATTTGGCGCCCAACGGCGACGGCACTTTGGACGCCCAGTTGTTGTATGTGCCGTAACCAGAGTACAGGGCAGTCGTGTCGTCAAACGGTGATTGCATGAGACCATTGAATTGAGACCCAAACCCGTTCTTCAGCTCAGCCGCCGCATTGCGCTCTCGTTTACGCCATTTTGCCCGACGGTTCTTAAACCATACCTACAAACACACAACAGTTCATCAATTTTGTTGTTGAATATATATAAATACAAACTTTTAACTAAAATTAATTATATTTATCACCAAAAATATTAAATACTAAGTTTAATAATTAAAATCAAACAAAAGTTTCTTTAACTTTAAAACAGTAATAATAACCTAATGTAATGTAAAATAATGATAGAAATTATTATTTTTTGTTAATAATATTGATATTCTTTTATTATGCCTAATGTACTAATGAAATGAAAATTTATAGCACTCGAGGGTAATATAGATTCAACTTATTATATGTTATTTTTATATAATATATGTATATATGCGGAGATGAGTTGGTTATTAACAGACATATCAAATAAAATATTCATTTTTACTATAATTGCTTTCACGTAAAAAAATGTTAATAAAATGTTAATATATATAAATTTATATATATAACTACGAGACACAATTTCTATAATAATAATGAGAAACTACTACTATATCATGCAAATTATAAAAAATAAAAAAGTGCTTTTTATTGTGATTTTAAAAAATAAGCCAAATTTTTATATTAAGATTATAACAGCACTAGAATTAATGCAATATAATTGACTTTATTTTTACTATAATATATTAAAATTAAGACTAAAAAACATAAAAATCTAAAACTATTACATAAATTATTTATAAGTTGGCAAAAATTGTCAAAATAAACATTTAATTATAAATTATTGTTATTATTATGATATGCATATTAAAATTATTATTATTACGATTATTCAAAACTATATACAATATAGTGTATACTATAAATTTACAATTTTTATAGTATTAATCAATTATAATGATTTTGTTTATAATCTTTAAAATCGTATATAAATTTCTAGACTGAGTTCGTGAGTTAAGGCATACACTGAGGCGTCTGAAATAAAACATTGGTTTTATCGCCAAAAAACATTACGTGATTTGCAATGACATTATTATGTGATCACAATATATATATATATTATATATATATATTTATATTGATTGACATTTAAAATCATAACAACAAGAATATGTGTATAGTTAATGAAATGTGTTTGAAATTGCGATCATAATTGCAAAGATAATAAAATCAATTAAATAATATTTAAAATATAATTTTTACTTATATTAAAGGTAATGTAAACAATAAAAACCTATATATCTGTAAATTTGTATATATAACTGATTTTATTTAACAAATAAATTAATAGCTAAAGAAATTAGACATAAGCTTAAGCTTTAAAAAACAATTTGTAAATTTAAGTAATAATTAAATTAACTTAAAATTTTTAAAAATCTAATAAAGTGTAAATATTTATAAAAATATATATATTTGTAATTAAAGACATTAAAAAAATGAAACATAATACTTGTGAAACTATTGTCAATTACTGTATATAAAATAATATAAATAATATTCCGACAATTTTATAAAAATAAATATAAATATATTGTCGGGAATTGACTTCACAACTCCCAGTCTCTCTCCCATACAATCGCTGATTATTGAGCCATAAATAATGTTAATAATGGTTTAGTTGAAGCAATTTAATGATCACCATTGAGGCGAACCATAACAAAATTATATATATATATCACTTACTCTCTCACCCGCTCTCTTTAGCCTATAATATAAAATACTAATATATATAAATCTTTTTTGTGCACATATATTGTATAAAGTGCTGTATATATATAGTATATACTGTGTATAAATATTCCCCATTTTTTAGGGCCAACAATGTTCCCTTATATATATATGAATATAAGTTACTTTATATAAATAACTATAAAATATAAAACAATTTCTAATGTTTGCAATGTTAGTCTCTATTAAAACCTTAAAATTTTAATATAATATTCATATGCAGTATTATAACTTACATAATAACATATTAATGGTGTAACACTATTTTTTTAAATGTTTGATTTTTATTAGTAATACTAAATTTACATGCTTCAATAATAGAAAAATTTGAATGTATATAAATAAAAAAAACATTTATACTTTTCTTTAAATATTAGATATTTGAATAATAATAAAAGTTACAACAAATTAAAACTATAAGGATATAAAAAAATCTAAAAATGTCAATTTTTATAGTATAAAAATTGTCACTGAATTGTAATGTCAAATGAGAGAGAGAGAGAGAGAGAGAGAGAGAGAGAGAGAGAGAGAGAGAGAGAGAGAGAGATATGAGCAAAAATATCTCATGAGTATAAAATACTCCGGGGAAATGTATGGCACACATAAAAATGAGACACACTGTGTGTGTTGTCATATAATAAACAAGAGGATAGACCAGTGTTTGTGTATGTGTGAGGACAGAAAAGCTCAGGGATGCAAACGAGTGACACTTTTGCCGTTTAAAACAGGGAGTCGGGCATAAAGTGAACATTTTGGGTCCCAATCTATATATATTGACTCTCTCTGTCTATTCATCTATCTGTCTATCTTTCTGTTTAAAAGCAATGAACAGCATATATCGTCACAAATGTAATGGACTCACAAATTCATTATTTATAATTTAAGTTAACATTTTTGGCAAACAAAGTGACACACAATCTGTTCAAATGAGAGTTTCATTTTGGTTGAGACCAATACACCAGAACTACTCATTTATATTTAGTGTATAACATCAATAGTAACACTATTTGGCGGTCTAATCGTTACTATCAATGTGTCTAACATTCCCGCATAGATAAAGAGGTTCGGTATATACAGTATATACTGTATAAATATATTATACAGTATATGTACTGTATATGACATACTATATGTGTTAACATGTTTGCTATCATTTATCATTTTTTTGGTTAATTTTCAAAAAATATCTCTACATATTATATATAAAATATTCAATATAAAGAATATTGATATTTAAAAGGTAAACTATATTTGTAAAATATCATATAGTTTAGTAAAAATAAATTATATAGCTTACAGTTAACAAATAGTTAAGTATAGTATTATTATTAATTAGATAAATATTAACAAATAGCGATAGTCTAAGTAATTTTACAATATTAGTGGAAACTAATCAAAACTTCATTAAGCAATTGTATGATTTTAATAAAATATTGAGTCATCTAAATAAAGATAACCCTATTTTCATTAAATATTTATTATAAATGGTTAGCCAGTTATTGGTAATACTGTAACCCTTTTTATATACTCTTCCCCAACCTATTCATAAGGGTTTCCCTGTTTACTAAATGATGAATTGGTTTACTTGACGTACAAAACTAAATAATAATATTAAATAAAATGTTTGCTTATATATATATTTGATATACAATACTTAATTACAATTTTATAAATAAACAGGATAAAATTATATGATATAATGCATTTTTTCTAAAATTAAAAAAAATATGAAAAAATAACACTAAGATAAGCACATTAGTGAGAAAAACGGTCCTAAAATTGCAGGGAAAACACGATTTATATTTTTGATAAAATTCAGTGATAATAATAATAGTAATAATAATAATAAATAAATAATAACTGTTTTTGAATTGATTTATAAGTCAGATATGAGACTCAACACATTTAACTGGATTAAGGACAGGGAGGAGAGGCACTGGCATTGTGTGTGCGACCAACAAAAATAGGAAACAACGACTCGACAAACATTATGCCTAATGTCACTAATAATAACAAAATTCAATAATATTGTCAAATATGATATAATGTAATAAATATATTGAATTGATTTGATTGAATGATTTAGTATATTGTATACATAAATATGTATATAATTATTATCTAATAATATTCACTGCAATAAATGGTCATAAATGGGGTACCGGTATATACAGTATGTTTGACAATATTATAATGTAATGAATGCAATATTAAAGCATTAGAGTAGTTGTTCCCAAATATACCACTATTTCCAGGCTTTAACTAAACTCCTGGTGACTACCCGTCAAGTTTGGGCATTGATTTCAAGCATATTGTATTTCAGCTGTTGATTGATTGGAGTCATAACTTTATATTAATTTTTGTACATATTTTAGGCTATATCTAAATATATTTTAACGCAACTGTATATTGTATAGTATACTGTATAATATACAATATAATTGATGAGTTGCTAATGAATTATGAGGTCTAGAGATATAATTTTTTATTGTTGATTATAATTATAAATATACTGTATATAAATATAATATAAACTATGTGTGTGTTTGGCATTATAACTCACACTCATTTTATTTTTATTATGCTGTAATTATTAGGCAATAAAAATGTTTATGACTTCCAATAAAGTATGAGTTAAGATAAATACTAACTACTGTATATAAAAGTAATAATATAATAACAACTAAAAAATAATTTATTGTTTGTTATTTAATTAAATAAATTGATTAATAGTCGCCAATAAAAATATGTCAAAAATGTTATTTCTTATATTTACTGTCAATTAGAATAAGAAGTTATAAATAAATAAAAAGTATTATAAATTTCAAAATATTTATTATAAAAACTTTGAAAATCATTAAGACTTATGATTTCAGTTATAATAATAATAATAATATTTAAATACATAAATAGGCAAAAGTGTGGGCAATGATGTAAATCCTGTTACAAAATCTTAAAAAATTCATATCATTTATTAGAAATAATCAATACATTAATGTAAATATTGAATAACTATTTAATATTAGCTGCTAATCACACCAAATAAGTCACAAGTGATAAAAACAATTGTTTTCAGGCGCCTATCGTTTTTATTTATTATACAAATACTGTATTAGCTTTTAGTCAAAAAAAAAGTAAAAATATATCTAACAAACTAATGATTTAGTCGATTATAAACCATTCAATTTTTTCAACCATTCAACCGACAATTTAACCAAATTTGATACAATTATTACAATATTTCATATTATTTATTTACTAAAGCTTTTTTATTTAGTATTTAGCTGATTATTCAACAGATATTTGCAATTTTATCATTAAACTATATCGTAATACTAATAATAAGTTTTCTAATAACTATATACATGTATTGTAAGTATTATACGATTATACCGGTATATACAGTATAATGCAGGTATATATATATATGATATAGACAGTAATACTGAAGTTTGCTGATTAACAAACAAACAAAACACACACAAAAAACAGTAGTTATGTATTACAGTACAGCAGATATGTATAGTAGTATTAGTAAAAATACAAGTATTTTTTAAATATATTGTGGACGACTTGGCGTCGAGATGTCCCAAAAAAGTAGTGATCATATCTTTACAGTAAATAATTGTTGCAATTTATCAATCAATTATTAGCACAAAAAACTATACTCTCTCTCTCTCTCTCTCTCTCTCTCTCTCTCTCTCTCTCTCTCTCTCTCTCTATTTTTTTATCAAAATGCTTCTGAAATTCTTTGCCTTTTTATTTTTGTTGATAAAACCACTCTTCAACTGAACAATAGGTTTGTATATGAAATTCTTGTTCACTTTGAAGAGCACTTCATTCATATCATATAATATAATGAATAATATAATATAAATAATATAAAAGATTTTTCAATTTCAACGATAAATTTATTAGTCAAACAATTGTATAGTTAAATAACATTTCTTTTTTATATCTAATATTAATCATATCAATAACCAGGATTGTGTTTATACTAATTAATATTACCTGTGTATAAATCAGTGCATTTTATAAAATATTGATTTTGTAATACATATATATTATTAATAACAAGTTAATAGTGTCATATGTTATATTTTTGTATATTTTTATTTTAAAAATTGATATATTTTTAACAATTAAGTTACTAATCAATTGTGACTCTCAAGTGTTAAAAGCATTATTTACTGTATATTTTCTTGTTATAAATAAATATAGATATTTTATATATAATATTTGCATTGTATAGACTATATTAGAGTATTATTATCTCAATTTTATATGATTTATGAGTCCCAATGTTTAAGTAATGTTTTATTATATGTGTTAAACACATATATCATTTAGCAAACATAACTGTGCTTTTATGTACAATACACTACAACTTATATGCACACACATAACAACTACCTAAACGTCAAATAAATATATAAATATTTTTCTCAAATTTTGTGATAAATTATGGCCATCACATGTATATGGTATAACACCTCCGCTACAGTATATTGTTAGCATAAATAATAAATGAATGTATTATTAAATATTTGAACAATGAATTTGCTAACTGAGCTCTCTCTCTCTCTCTCTCTCTCTCTCTCTCTCTCTCTCTTTGTTAAAAACTAAACTCAAAGAACTACCAGTGTTTCCTTATATTTATGATCTGCAGAGCATTGTTATCTAATATCATTACCCCATACTCGTACAGTACGCAGTGTAATACATATATACATACATACATACTATATAGCCGTCACTCATACAACTAGTAGTAGAAGCAATAATACCGTATTTTATCTATACAAGGCTTGGCCGAGGCTTATACCTACTAAAGCTATGTTTTAACACACATAATGTACTGTAAATACAGAGAGTTAGACATTTGAAGAAAAATATTAGATTATAAAAACTTTTTCAACAATAGTTTTCTCTATACATATATACTGTCTTTTAATAAGACACTACTTATAGATATACAGTATATATATATATATATATTTATATATATATTTATAAGTGTTTATCTCAATTTGTTTGAGTATTTATAGGGATCAACAATAATCGATTCAACTAATGCTTAATAAAGGCTAGTAATTGAACGCTAAAATCACTATAAAAAACTTATTTATGAATCTCTTGTATTTTTATTAGACTTTTCTTGAGATTAAAACCAAATTATGTTTTCATTTTTATTTCATTTAAACATTTTCTTCACATTTAACTCTCTTTTAAATGTCGATTACTGTGATGTTTGGCATTACTTCACATTAAGATTAGCATTAAGTCATATAAAAAATCAATCTCTTTTGACAGCAAATGTGAAATAAACAAATAAAATATTAAAAAAAGTATTGTAAAGGAATTTTTAACACATTTTTTCACTATTACACTGTATGTTGTTATAATATAAACTTAATTTATTATACAGTATTTAATTAATAAAAATATCATTTATGGTGCATATTATACTAATTTTGTTTGTTAAATAAACATTTTTATCACAACAACACTTGTGATTGTTATGAGAGTTATCTTTTATTTTTATCAATTGATAGCTAATTTAAATATTTTAATTTTTTTTATTTAATAATTTTTAGTTATTTGATGATTATTTGATTATATTGACATAAATAAATAATACTATTAATTTATTCAATTATTTACTACAAATATTGAAATATTTTTTAAAATAAAGCATTTAAAACTTGGCGTCTGAGTATAGATAAGACATTCACTCATTTATATATTGGATAAATAATTAATTAATATACAACTATTGATCTCATATCTCATAAATCTCATTAAAAACTAAACTACAATTAAATTAATTTTTATAAAAATGTGTTAAAAATATTTTCTCATACACTTACCCTAACCCTGGCCTCCGTTAGGTTAGTCCACATAGCGATCTCTTCTCTCGTAGACATATCCGGGTATCGGTTCCTCTGGAAAGTTGCCTCCAATTCCTGCAACTGTTGGCTCGTAAAGTGTGTCCTCTGTCTGCGCTGTCTTTTCTTCTTTTTCGGGTCGTCCACATCACTCCCATCCGCCTGACTGTCCGCTGCGGCTCCGCTTTGCGATGGCTTCTCCACCGATGCCGTCACTGCATCTATTTATCAGTTTTTTTGTTTGTAAAATATTAGTATTTTCAAAATAAAAACTACTGTATTAATCTATTAATTGTCAAAATATATTATATTTTTGTAATTTATAGATTATTTATTAATATATAAACAAACATATTTTACTTATAATTTTTAAAAAATAATATATATATTAAACACTTTGTATGTAAATTAGTTTGGATTTTTGGCTCTATATTATCAATATATGTTATTAAAATAATTTATATATATATCTTAATCGATATACAGTCTAGTTTAATAATATTGATAATTAAATAAAATTAAATTTAAACATATTTAAATAATTATAATTAAAAATAAAATATAAATGTACAAAATTTAAAAAAAATTTTTTTTATCAATGTGTGGGTCAATAGTATTGTTGAAACAAGATTTTTGTAATACATATGGATTTTCATATAACCCTTAAAGCTGTGGGTCTTATCATTAGAAAGTTATAGAGAATTCTCAGTTTAGTGAAGAAACAAATTTCAAAACAAAAACAACAAAATATGGGCTCAAATATATGGTCAACAAAATATTGTAGTTTATATATCTATGGGAATGGTGTCATAAAACACTCACTCATACAGACACAAACACAACATATCAGATACCAGATTATAATAAACAATATATAAATGATTTTAAGTAAAAAAATAATTTTATTATAAATAAAAAATAATTTTTTACCATAAAATTAACAACACTTTAAAATTAGTACAATATATACATTTTTCACACAATTTAAGGGATAGTATATCTCAAATTACTTAAACCATGTAAACACACAGAAAATTCCTATAATACTTTATGTGGTTCAATATTACTTTTTTTATATTATATAAATAAAAAATGAGCCTGTTATTTTATTTGCAATGGTAACAACAAAACGAGCATGATGATTTAATATTGTTTATATTGTCATTGAGAGGGCAAGTGTTAAATGAAAATGTCTTTTTAAATAAACATATATTTTGTTGATATATATATACTGTATATATATATATATATATATATACTGTATGTATGGTATTGATCGAGATATGGGTATTAAAGCATTTGCCGAAAGACATTCAAGAGTTTGCATTTCATAACAACTTTAGTCAATAAAATTAATCGTTTGATACAAAACATGGGTTATATAGCCTTTAAAACTAATCGCCACAAAAATATTTCAACTAATAGTGTATTTTATTTCGTTTTTAACACATATTTTTAATGTTTTGATGTCTTATTTTTCTTAGAATGCGATCCCAAATGAAATCCAAAATTTATTTTAATTAATCAGTTGTTAAAAACAAGTTTTTTAACAGTTAAGAGTCAGTGGTCAACAAAAAAACCATTAAATTAATGAAAGACTTTTGTATTTTCCGAGAAAACAAATTCAATGGTTTTTAGAAAGATATGTCTGTTATGTTATGTTTACAAACCTATTGAATGACAGAGAAAATAACAAAATAACTGAACATTTCATTTGACACCTCATTAGTAATTATTGGGAGGTTTTTGACACACACACACACACACACACACACASAGAGAGAGAGAGAGAGAGAGAGAGAGAGAGAGAGAGAGAGAGCTACTATTGATTGTACAGTAATTTGCTTTTTAGTATTAATGACTGTCCTTATCATTAGGTGGTTAGTGAGGACTGGGAGACGGGTCAGAGGCGCTCATATGACCGAACAAAGTGTAATGTCTGGTCTTAATTAGGCGCGTAAGACATAAGACAAGTGTCATATATATATATAAAGACAAGTGTGTGTCAGTGTCTGTCCCTTTTTTGTAAAAGAGAGGTCTATAATATGTCTGACTTTATGTGAATACTAGGAAAGCCATCGAAATGAACAGGGATTTGTCGTAATATATTTAATGAGTTGGCATTAGGCCTCACAATATTAAAAGAGTGTCCGAAAAAATTAAGCCGAAAATTCAAGTCTATTTTTTTGTATGAAACGGATGGTCATAAATTTGGACTTAACTGTTGAGTCAAAATTTAAAACAAAAAAAATTAAGTCAAATGTAAACCGAGAGTCTATCACAAGGACAGGACTTCAACAAAAAAAAACAAATCAATTGAAATAATGTGTTCATATACTGTATATACTGTCTAAACCCGAGGTATAACTACAGTACATAACTGTTTTGCCATTAATTAGTCAATACTAAGAGCGGGCATTACTTTTTCATGAGTGTGTTTAGCCGTCAATTTTATAGGGAAATGTTAGTGTCATTTGGACACATAATTTACATGTAATGTCATTATAGGAGATCAGAGATCATAGTATTTTATACTGTAGTGTGTAATGCAATTCACTTGAAAAATGTTAATTATATATTATATATCAAAATTAATTTGCCAGAAATTGCTGTTTTGAAAGGCATTAATTAACACCACAGCAATAATTATTTCAATTTATATTCAATACAATAATAATAATAATTATTATTATTTCATTATACAGACACTTGAACAATATTTTTGATTTCAAATAATAATCTAATACTAATGTGTTTATAAATTACTTATTATACTATAATATAAATGCCTATAATTTTTTAGTGTTTGCCATTTATTATAACTAATGAAAAATTGATTTTAATTTAAAAATTATGTTTTTCTTATTTTAATATGAAATCTAATTCAATTTGATTTGTATTTTGAGTCATACAATGTGTAAAAAATAAATAAAAGTTAATTTTATACAAACACATACTTTTGCTAATGTTTGTATTATAATTAATATCTATTATTTTATAATTATATACATAGATTTAGTTATATAAGATTAACTATTATTAAACACGGATTATAGTTATTATAGTAACAACACATAACATAGCTTATAGTTTCTTAATAACTTAAGTTAAGACTTTAACTTAATAACTCAACATAAAATATAAATAAAAGACTCAATAAATCTATTACTTTACTAAATAAATATATCAAAAAATTAAATATTAAATAAATATCTAAACAATATATTATATTCTTTATAATATCTTAATTAATAATACATACAAAAAATCACTGATAGATATATTAATGAAAACAATAGAAGTACTTATGTTTGTAATATCTCTATACAGAATAACTTGTATTTTATTATTTATTTGTATGACTTTTTATCTATCAAATATAAAAATGCTTTTTTGAGATTACATTTTGGATGAAAACACAAATACATGTATATATATATATATTTGTGAGAAAATAATGATTAATACTAATATTATTGAAGTATTTTTTGTATTTGTATTAAAAATAAAAGTAAATGACTTATAAATATATAATATTTATATATTTAATAGAAAGAGTTTGAAAGAGACGTGACTCTAATCACTGAAAACTACTTAAAAAAAACTTTGAATAGAGTCGGTGTCGACATTGTCTTCAACAACAACAACATTGAAGACATGTTTGAGACATCATTATCGGTGCTTAAGTGGGAAATACCTCTCTTATGTTTGTTATTGTCCTGTATGGAAGTGGTAGAACACGGCAGATCCGAACCATTGGTGGTCAATAAGCCAGTTCTGGCCATTTGGTTGGCCGACGTCATGGCGTGATTCAGGTGATGCAGATGATGGTGATGTGTGCTCATCGATGACATGCTCGGCGGAGGCAGTAGTGTAGTCACGTGATGGTGTGGCGATGAAAATGACGGAGCCGTCAGTGCCGACACCGGGCTATTGTTGTGCGGCTGTACGGCACCTGACGATTGCATATGAGTTGTCGTGTCGGGTATCTGTACGTTATGGTGATGTTGATGGTGTGTCTGATGGGGCTGATTATGGTGATGATGGGATGTGACACTGGCGGCGGCCACCAAGTCTTGAAGACTAAACTGATCCGTCAATGTGTCCATCATTTTCATTTGATAAGCAATTGTTATTTGGTTTTGTTATTACACTTTATTCTTATAATATATGATATACCGATTCAATAGATTTTTTGGTCACAAATTAAAAAAAAATATTTATTTTTCTTTATATAACAAACAATTGTATTTATGAATGAATTATTGAGACCTCTTTAGGAGCACATAATGAGAGAATCTGACAGTCAATTGGATTTTTGTAATACAATTTATATCATTTATGATATCATCAACTTTTATTAATCGTCAAAATTAAAATTATTTGTCAACTCTATATATATTTGTTATTACAGTATATAATATACACATAAATAATATATAATACAATATTTATAAAATAAAAGTAAACTTTTTTATATTGTAATTAAAAAAAAAATACTTTTCATTTGACGCAAAACTCGAAAATTGAGCGCAAATATGGTATAACTTAGAGATTATGATTAGACAGTAAAAAGAGAGTCGATATGTGATGTACGTGTGGTTTGCTTATGTGCTACAAGTCATGCAATAGAGTATTATTGTTAGAGATTGTGGGGATAGGCATGTCTCTGGCTTAGGGTGGTTTGAGAACCGCCTACCACTCCATTGGAAACATTGACATTCATAATCAATTCTCCAATACAATCAAATGCTGGGTGGAGTCGTATGAGTTTATGGGCGCTGTTTTGAGCACCGGTACTACAATCAGTATCATCATCACTATCCAAAAGAAGAAGAAACAAATACTTAAGACAAACACTACTACCGGTGCTCATCAACACCGGGAGAGACCATTTGCACAGAGAGAAAGTTGTGTGTTGTGTGTGTGTGTGTGTGTGTGTGTGTGTGTGTGTGTGTGTGTGTGTGTGTGTGTGTGCACTGGAAATGGGTTTTAAACCAAACATTTAACTTAGAAATACAAATATCCACATAAATACAAATATACAAATATATATGTTTTTTCTCCAGTCTTTCTCTCCATTATCTTCTCTTCTCATCGTTTTTTTGCTACGAGTTTGACGATCAATATATACATACATACAGTATATGACTGGCTTTCACTACACTATATGTTTGAGTTTTTTATGATGACTACACTATACATATAATTTTTAGATATATATATATTTTATAAATACAGCACAATATTTATTATTATTTTGATATATACTGTAATTATATATATATGTTTATATAATTATATTTTAGATATATTTTTTAAAAATTGTTTTTTAAAAGCAAGCAAATAGTTTTACAGAACAATAACAAATAGTTAGGTTTTTTAGACGATTTCACGACTCAATCCCTGAGCCAGTGTAGCGTCGAAACTGAGACAAACATTACTACTATATGATACACAAGTAAACCAATAATATACACACAGTTATGTGTCTACAAGTTTGCCATTGAAATAGAGACGGCAAATGTATGTGTCATTTGGTCGGTTAATCCGCCGGTGAGCCACTTGAGAACTGGGCTCAAAATGACCTTCCCTTACAACAAGCACAGGCCTTACTAGTCCTATCATAGGACTTACGAGGCCTTAATCCGTAATCCTATTTTCAAATGCAAGTCAAACGCAATGTAAAGCCTTCAAAAAAAAGTGCGACCAATACTCATAACTTAATAGCTTTACTTATATATACTGTATTATACAGTCTTATATCATATATATATACACCATTCAAGTGTTACATAATACTATACTACTGTATATATATATATACTAATGATATAATATGTAATTTTGTTTTTTAAATTAATTAAATTCAATATTCATAAGTGACTATTTATAATATTATTTATAATGGAATATAATTTATATATTAATAGATAAATATATAAACATTTCTACAAAATCAATAATTTATTCAATATTATATAAAACAATTTTTAAACAATTTTTTTTAATTAAAAATTTAAAAACGTAGATTTAGTTTTATATCTTTATAAACTAATTTTAGAATTATTTTTATTAATTTTGGTATAAAATAAATATGATAAATAAATTATATTGATTTTATTGTAATCTTTATAAATAAAACAAACAAATGATTTGAAGCTCTATAATGAGGGAATAGTTATTATAGTTTCTCGGTATTGGTTTGCAATTTATAAGACATATTCATTGGGAAGCACTGAGGGATGATATGGACCGACACTATCAGTATCGCTATCATATCAAATGATGAGCGCCTTAACCGTCATTTGAGTACAACATCTGAGCCCATAAATGGCACACAAATTGTATGCATTTGTTGGTCGAAAAACACTATCTCTTGTATTATACGTCAAAATGTCTTCCTCTCAATACAACAAATGATTGTTACGACGACGAAAAGGACAGGGATGTAGTGTATAGTAGATGCGGTAGTAATGCAATGAATCAAATCATGCGAGAGATATATTGAAGTAAAATATACATAAAACTGATAGATAGGAGACAAACACAACACTCATATACTGTATATACTGTGTATATGTGTTTAGAAAGTAAATACCAAAATGAGAGACACTCTCAGAAAAATATATATATATACTGTATATTCTGTAGTATAGATGCTTAATATATAAGTATATGCTGTATATATATATATATATATATATATATATATATATATTTGGATATATATATAGCCATTCCCTAACCGTTAGGGAAGTGGGATTAAGTAACCCTCCAGATGAGGATAATATAAGTTTGATATATATTTATATAAAGTTACATATATTATATATTATACTGCATTTTATACTGTTATTCAGTTGTGTTATAATTTATTTAGTCTAATGCTAAAAATAATTACCAAATAATTATTAAAATTATTTTTTTTACATAAAAAGACTGATAGAAAATATTATTTGTTATATTATATGAATATATTTTTATTTATTTATATTTATAGTATTATCATTAATTTATAACTATTAGTACTAATTTATAAAATATATTATAAAAATTATAATAAAATACTAATAATAATTTTAGTAAATATATCACCAAATAATAGTATATTTTTTCATTAAAAGCATCAATAGTTTAGTAATATATGTAAATTAAGAGACAAATAAAAAACAAGTGAATCGTTTGACTTGGAGATTGAGTCGCTAAGGCAGTGACTATAATGGTGTCGATGCTATACTATCTGTGCTCATAAACTGGTCGATTACTATCATCAACTCTATAGCTCTTCTGTAATGATTAGTATTGTATTGAACTGAACATTAAGTTTACCAAAAATAGTGGCTAACTGTGCCCATCAAATGCACACACAAAACAATACAAGACTAATATACAAAATGTTTGCTACAATTTTATAGATCAGTAGTGTCTCTCACTCTGTATTAGTTTTAATAGTGTAGTTCAGTAATGTTGTCGGTGTTGTGCATCACATTATGTGCACATTAATCCCGGTGTTTCAATGCAGACAAAAATACTAAGAGAGACTGTTTGGGCATTAAAGACGATTAGCATAATCAAAGTGACACACAGGGGGCAATTGGGGGCACTGGGAGGCTATTCGGATGTTATGCGCTCCTGTGTTAAAACCAGCATTCATAATCGGATTAGTGCACCCATACATCTATATATCCATAAACAGTTACAATAACTTTATAAGTGATACCAGTGTTTTATATAAATAAATTTGAAAATGTCATCCGAATCAATGGCAGATATCACCAAAATTGGTGCCCATCTGTTTGTATATATTAGACATTCACTGCCCGACCAATACATCCCTTTTTTCCTATTCAAACATCTCTTCATTATTTCGCTAACTATACCTAACTATTTATGGACATTAAACACAACCAACTATTTGAGAGTCAATTTAAATGCATATTAAAAAATCTCACAACAATTTATTGTCACATTTATTGGGAGGTTTGTTGTACAGAATAATATGTACAGTATGTATGTGTGTGTGTTTTGTTTGAATTACACATAAAATATATATTATATAAATAAATGATATAAATACAGATTTATTATATAAATTTTATTTTGAGTGGTATTAGTGTATCACTTGTATTATGCATTGATATTCTTTTAGCTAAAGAATTACATATTTCCTCAATTGTTTGCACACATTATATAAATTTATATAAAGAATATATACATCAAAACTAGTAATAATAATATTGTCTTTTATAATATAAATATATATCTTTTTTTTTGTCTTTCCTTATGGTATAGCATACACACCACTCGATCACGAAATGCAAATATAACTAAATGTTTAGATACTCTTTATATTTATCTAAACTTTTTTTCATATTTCCACATATAGTATAGTATATAGTTTTTTATATACAGTATATGTAATATATATATATATAATGTGTGTGTGTTTGTCTGTATCTGAAAACCCCTCACTTATTGTTTGCCTAACACTTGGAATTCATTTCATGTAATTCTCGATGTTTTACACAATTTATTCACACAAAGAAAAATACATCAAATAATAATAAAAATACATAAAATATGAGATTTGTATCTTTTAAACTGTAAATCTCAGTTGTTTTTTATGTTGTTGATTGTATATCAAGTATATAAATTTATTTAGTTTTTTATTTAACTATCGATTATATTGAACACATTCAATAAATAAATATTAATAAAATAAAATTTTGTGTATAAATCATTTATATTTATTGGTTAAATAAAATAATGATAAATGTTATGCAAAAATGCTATTTATTGAAATATATGTATTGTTATATACAGTACGTATATCTATAACTAAATGTTTACATTAAGTATACTTAAGGATTTGTGAAAATATGCACCTGTCCTCTTCCTTCTCCCTTTCCTCCCTTCCCTATACTACCCGTGCATTTTATATTTCACTTAAAAGTTTTTATTCTATTTTTGTAATTCATTTATACAATATATATATATATATAATCATTATATAAAATATTTTACATTATAATACAGTAATATATGCAATGATTTAATAAATATCCAAAACTTCTATATAAACTCTATAATATTATTTATTTATTTTTTACCCACATATATAAATTTATAC